GTAATATTTTATAATAACTCCAACTTTGATTTTGTTCTCTTTGGAGTAGGCACTTGGGCCGTGGGCTTCATGTGCCCTGTGCGCTAATTAAAAATTTAAGTAGGCACAATAGAGAGTACGGGTGAGCCCAGAGCTGGTGCTTTCCTCGCTCAACGAATAAGTATCGCAATACAACGAGAAAATGCTGCCAGTATTAAAGGTACTCTGTCATAGGGACCAAACTTTATAAATTTGTTTTAATTTTGTATTATTTATACTTTCAATAAGCTTTACCTCCTAACCGAATAAACCTATTCAAACAAAAGTTCTCTTTATCTTTTATAGATGCAGATACAAATAATTTTCTTTTAATTCAGTGAAACAATACCTAAATTTTAATTAAAAAGGCTTCAAATTAATTACTACGAAGTTGTTGCAATGTTCTGCAGTTTGGATTATAATCGATACAAAACTTTTACTGTTTTAGTTGAGCTCACTTCAGCTTATGTTGCAAATAATGTAAACATGTTATTCTGGAAAGTTTGTAATTGAAAATGTTCACTGAATTTTAAAATATTTTTATGCATTTCTTCAAGCAAAGTAGCTTCATCATCGGATGTCAAGGCAGAATACAAAATACCATCCGTATCACCTAGACGACGAATTGAGCGTTTAAGGCAGTTTTTGCCGCGCACAACTATGTGAAACCAGCTGCCCACTGACGTATTTCCGAACATATAGAGATAATAAAATGGCGCTACAACTATTTAAAATTATTATTAACTGCATTTTTTGAAGTGTCCTTTTTCTCTTCTCTTGTTTACATTTATTAAAACATTTATTTAAACAGATCGCTTCTGGGTGCTATAACAATATCCTGATCGTTATAGGTAATAAACCCGAATGTGGTGTTTTGAGACACTGGGTTCATATACATGCCCATGTACCTGGTGCCTCAAAACAACGGAGATTTATGAATTAAATGTTTTAATAATTTTGCTAATTTTTATTTTACTAACATAGTTATAAGTTAATACTTATAAGTACGTACTTAGTTACGTAGAGTAATCTCTACTAACAATATATGGACCTATAATTGTCTGAATTAAATGATTTTTTTATTATGTTTTTATTATAGGTCTTATGATTATTTATCAATTTTAAATTACAATTATTATTATTATTATTATTATTACAATGTAGGTTAAGAAAATACTGTACATGTGTGTGGGAAATACATTATACCATTAAATTATTTGGCAATGAAGATATATTTAAGGTATATTCTTGTTTAATATTTAAGTCGAAAATAATAATGCCTCGGAGGTTATAAGCGTAATCTTCCATTAATGAACGTAACATTGTATTGACATTGACATTTATGAATATTATATTCGTAAACGTTCTTCTATTGGCTAAAGTAACGAATAGTTAAATAATGTTTTGTAATGCTTTGAGTTCAAAGTGACAAAAGTCCAAAGTCATCATAGTTATTCATGTAGGTAACTTGTACACTTATGAACGTCAAAAAAAATACATTAAATGCTTCTAATTTTACATTTACTGCCAGTTCTCAAACAAGGGCGTAGAAAGACATCACGGAGTACACGAATTTAAGTACGACCAGTCACCACAAGTACGAGTATGACGCATGGCCACGCGAGGATAAAAAACATGAATTAAGATTTTTTTAAATACCAAATAAAGTTTATGTTTTATAGTGCATTTATACTAATAATAACAATAATACTATTTATAAATACGTTTGTGAATTAAGATTAAGGTATACTCAAGAACTATGAAATCCTGTATAATCAATTCTTTGACAACAAGTTCTTACTTCCGTTTATAATTCAAGTCAGTTTATAGCGGTGAGGATGTCATTAACCACCTGTTATTGCCTTCATCCGGCTGTTCATCATACTGAGTTACGGAATATTTCCCGTAAATAGTATCCCGTAATAGTACTAAAACAGATTTGTAAATATTGCCTTATATTTGAATGGGATTTTTTTAAAGACGTTCTTGCTGTTATTTGTTTAAGTTTACATGTTAATAATCGCATGAGATTGGTCGCTATTTTTGCTATAATTTGTGCTAATATAGTATAAATATAGGCGCCCTAATTCGGTGAACAAAATACCCATATTTCATAGAGTAATTTATTAATTTACCATATTTTGCAATGGCCCTACTTTGGTTGCAAACTGCAGGGTTGCAATCATGGAAAGGTGCTCTACTAAACATTTCATGATCGGATGTCGAGGCAGAATGCAAAATGTCCTATCTATCTCGACATCTGGCATTACACAACACAGCGCTTTTGAAGTCACTTTCTGCCGCGCACTATCTGTGGAACCAGCTGCCAGTCGAGGTATTTCCAAACAGATACGGCTGAGGGGCCTTCAAGAAAAGACCTTACCATTCCACGAAAGGTCGGCATCACATTCGTTATACGTTGCAGGTGTCCATGGACAGTGGTTATCACTATATTGAAAGTAACCCGCTTGCTAGTTTGCCTCCCGTCCCATAAAATAAAAATACATTTTCCATATACGTATTGTGAGACTATTCCATACGTGGTAAGGCGCTTGATCTATATCCATGCTTTCGGTTTCTTCCGAAGAAGAAGAACTAAAGTCACTAACTTAGCGTATAAGCTTATATGGTAAAGGGCACATTTCTCGAAGAATCGATAAGTCTTGGAATGGCGGCTGAGGGTGAGGGCAGCCTCCCAAGATGGACTGGTAATCGCTCTTACAGGAAATTTAGGCGAGAGGCCTATGTCCAGTAATAGACTTGTTCTCGGAGCGCTGCTTCCGTACAAACATTTTTTATTACTTTTTAATTGTTATAACTACAATAATATCTAACTAATATATTGCAAAGGATGTAATAAACCAGGTATGGTTTAAGCAAATTAATATTTTAACAAATGGCGTTTAATAAATATATCCGCGATCTCTCGAAAAACTCACGTTTTTATTCTTCGATTATATTAGATATTGTTTATCATAAATCTTCTTATATAATACTAGTAGACTCGGCCAAGCGTTGCTGTAGCTAAGATTTTTCTTATATTACATAGTAGTAAACTATTCAAGAGAAACGGCAGAACACCAATCCACCATGCTTTTATGGTGGTTATGCCATTAAATTGTTGCTTATGTGAAACGTTGGTATTTATTTTGATAAGGATCAATAACTAGGTATTTTAATTAAAAAAAAATAATAAAAGGACGCTTATCGTGACGTAACTATAAAAGATAGAGACATGCTGCCGCGACATTTTTTATAGATAGTGATGTGTCCTGAAAAATTGTATTACATCATTTTGTTCTATCATTAATAGTTTTCGCAGCGCACACGATTGAAGGAAGTTTTTAGTTTATTTTTTTACACCTTGGGTTCAATTATTTAAGTTTTAGTAAGCATCCCTAATTTTTGAAAATGAAACATAGCCTATGTCACTCGGGAATAGTGTAGCTTGCCAACGGTGAAAGAATTTAAAATCGGTCCAGTAGTTTCGGAGCCTATTCATTTCAAACAAACAAAAAAATCAAACCTTTCCTCTTTATAATCTTTATATATATAATTATTCTGTGAGTGTGTATGTCACTAAACTTCTCTCAAACGACTGGACCGATTTTGATGAAATTTTTTGTGTGTGTTCAAGAGGATCTGGGAATGGTTTAGATTCACAAATCAGCCCGGCAGATGGCACTGCAGTCGGTACTTTCATACTTTGCTTAATATCCTAATCGCTTTAAATATCATGCAGGACAACGTCTGTGGGGTCCACTAGTCTAATATATAAAATTCTCGTGTCGCGGTGTTTGTAGTTAAACTCCTCCGAAACGGCTTGACCGCTTCTCACGAAATTTTGTGTGCATATTGGGTATGTCTGAGAATCGGACATCTATTTCTCATCCCCCTAAATATTTTATTTTTAGATATTTTTTTGTTCTTATTTTTTTATGATATAACATTAAAAAATACATACAACCCCTAATTTTCACCCCTCTACGATCAACCCCTATTTTTTTATTATAAATGATATACATGGCATAACGACGTTTGCCCGGACAGCTAGTATTAGTATAACTGATTCCATTTTATCGCTACGTGAGTAGGACAAAGTTCAACGATTCAGACTATAAATATATTCGTTGAAGGATAATTCTATAAAGAAAGACTTGTTAAACACATATTAAAATGAGAACAATTAGATGCTTTTGGAAATAAGTTAGGAAAAGGAAACACATGAGAACTTCCATTCAACTGCCTCACAATCGAGTAGCTGGCAATAACGCAGCATACAAATTCCGAGGGGACTTTGACTATTGAAGAAGTCGCATTAGTTCGCCAAGTGTATTGAATGAATCAGTAAGACAGACATAGAAATGTGTCCGCCCTTTTCAGAGGTTAATAAAGTAGAGGAAACGTATAAAGTGACTTGGCTTTAGTTTTGAGACCAGCCTTGCGATTCAGTAACTCACTTTTCGAACTCTCACACCGGTTTTCGCAGCGGCGGTCGCGCTGAAATCAGTCGTGAAGCAGTCATTTTCCGATTTGGCATTCTGATAAGGAGGGAGCTTGTAGTTTATTGTTTATTATCCAAAACATCCCCCAGGAATCACCGTAAAGTATCTATAAAGAGATGGTAATCCCAAGACGCTTTAATGAAATCTTCTTTATTGAAAAAAATAGTATTACTAATATTAATATAGCTGTTTATTTTATTTATATCATCACGCCTATATCCCGAAGAGGGTAGGCAGAGACCACGGAGCTCGTCGGTTATTGGTTCTTTAAACGTCCCTTCTCCAGTATCTCCTAGATTTGGTCCAGGTATGTTAGCAAGGCTTAACCAACCTGATTTCACGATCCACGATTGCCTTGATATATCATACTTGTTAGCCGCTTCTCATTCTTCCGTTCTACATGACTGTTTAGATTGCTTTAAATAAAGATAAAAAAAAATATATATATATTTTTATTAACCAAATGACGTATATAGACTATTCTAGCAGATCTTCAATTTGCTTGACTTGCTGATACAAAACATCACTGTTGCTTCGGCTTTTTTTCTTTGTTATGTCATCATCACAATCGTGACCAAATTCATAGCCACGAGAGAGGTAATGGAACACTATTATTGAAAGTAACATGAGTCCAGAATAGAAGAAAGACTGGGTTTCCTGAAAAAAAATATGACAACAATTGTCGTTTCAAATGGAGCAAGGGGAAAATGTTTCATTGATAAATTTTGTGTATTTTGCCATTTGTGTCAACTGTCAAACCATAAAAACTTTTCACTCGGAATCAAACCCATGCTTCAACTCCAAAGCCACGAACACTGATTGTTTCGTTTGGTCTGAGGGGCGTTTACAACATAGTTTTGACCATTCAAAGAGTATTTAACTAAATGTAGTTTATTTTATTTAAAAAAAAAACAATTGGAACGTAAAAAATTAAATTACATTTGTCTTGTTTTTGTAACATTAACTATACTCTAATATGTACTTAATCCCATGTTTTAGACATAAAAGACATAGACATGGACACAACATTTATTACTAACAAAACACATACACAGAAACACACTAAACATTAAAAAATTCCGTTATTTTCTTTTGATTTAAACTATTTGTTGCTTAGAAAATTTTATGGACGTGTACCAAACAAAAACATTAGATTAAAATCCCCGAACCCGAACATTCATTTTGGATTTCATTTCTATTATTAAGTGTAAGATAGACGTTATTATATTTTACTAAATACAACTTACGGCGTCTCCTTTTTGAAATTCGAGTTATAGAGTATAATATGTATTATCAATACTTCGTGGGAAAAAACATTTTGTTCGAGTTACAAACTTACGTATTTCGACTTAACGAGATTCGAGTTATAGAGATTCCACTGTATTGGTTGTTAACGCCATCTATTGACGGGAATTTGTAACCAATAGGTTGAACGACAGCTGAAGTGAAAACAAACAAAATTATGTTCTTTTCTCTTTTGTGAACAGAAACGCGGCGTCTACTCTTTTATTATAAAACAAATCAACGCAAATATAATCTTAGCGTAATTAAACTATGGACTCAAATACCTGCTGATAATTAGTGAAGAGCCTTGTGATGACGATAATGATGATGTTTCCAAAAGCTTCGGTGAGCAGGAACACGGCAGTCATCACGGCTTTCATACTATTCGGGGATTCTTTGAATGAGAACTCATTTCCCGTCACTGCGAATAGAACCTGAAATATTGTGTTATGTACCATCACCACCAGCGACTGTGGGGATACCACATAAAACATTAAAAAGTGATCGGATTTTACGGTTGAGTTACGACATGTACTTATTCAGTAAACGCCCGTATGACGCCAGTACTCTAATTACGCATTTTCATATTACTCGATTTCGGTCTCTCTTATAACACGGGTATTCCCCCACACAATGCAGGAATTACACACGTATTTCTGTAACATTTATAAAGTACGCACATATTTCGTTCATAGCACAGTTTTATCTTAATATTCGATTTAAAACCTCTTTAACAAGAAAAGTTAAACGTAATTCATTTATACATACAAGCGCAATATGCAAGAATACTCCTACAACGCCTTTCCTATAACAGGGAACCAATCTACCGTGTTATAGGAGGGATTAGTCGACACTTTAAGTACTTATTACGACACGAGCTTTGGCTTTATTAACCTAGTCTGTTGAAAAAATAAAAAATATATTTTTTAAAATTTATTATTGTGAATCTTAACTACATTCTCAACTTTTTACTAAATTTTTTTATAGAACAGGAGGCAGAGGGGCAGAAAGCTCAGCTGATGTTAAGTGTTACCGCCGCCCATGGGCACTCTCAATGCCAGAGGGCTCGCGAGTGCGTTGCCGGCCTTTTAAAAATTGGTAAGCTCTTTTCTTGAAGGACGCTAAATCAAATTGGAAATACTTCAGTGGGCAGCTGGTTCCACATAGTGGTGGTGCGCGACAAAAAATGCCTTAAAAACGGTCACTTGTGCAACATCGGACGTCGAGTTGATACTGTTGGAATTTTGTATTCTCCCTCGACGTCCGATTACTAATCTATCTCTGTTTATCACAGCATAAAAGCAATTTGACTGAGAGAGACGAAAGAATTTATTTTAATTTTTACAAATAAAACACAACTAGATTTAAAAAATATGTCTCCCTGTCTACCCTCATTGCTGGCATTTTCTCGCTGAATTGCGTGTTTGAATATTATGTCCTAGCCTTTATAAAGAATTTTTCTTGAATCTCAGACCTTTTTACTTGATAGATCTAAAACTGTTAAACTCAATCTATCTCATGTCAGACCTGGAATATGTTCTCGATACATTGACTCAGACCTTTAATAAATAAACTCAGCGGCTAGATTTTCAAATCTATGAAAGACTTTCTTTTTCTTTTATTTACATTGCTTTTATTGCATTTTATAGTGGTTTTTCGTCGTCACATTTCGGTGTTTTGAACGAATTTGTTTTTTGTATGGGACTGAGTGTGTAATTTTGTTCATACAACCTTAGGTGCCTTTCAAACCGAAATAATAATGATTAATCTTTGGTGATCACCTTCTATTGTTTTTACTACGACCATTAACCGATTCCGTGACATATTTAAGGTCTTAACAGCTGCCCACTAAAGCACTTCGAAAGCTTGCGCTATGATAAAAAGACAGATAGTACTTTAGGTAAAACGGTCCAATTTCATCGATTATATTAATATTAGGTGCTTACATATTAAGCGTTTTGTATGGGAGGACCAAAAAATAGAAATTTCCATAACGAAAACGTTGGATCCAAAAACGCACTGTGTTTTCTTTCAACAATTAATCCTTCGAGCCGTTTCTGCAGCACTGGTGCCACGATGGAACTCGTACTCGTAAATAACATGATATTCAATTTCTATTTTATAAATAGAGTGAAGCAAAGACAAAAAATTAAAACGGGAAAATGAAATGAATCATGGTCTTCGAAAAACAAATGCACGAGTAAATAGCTGTAAAAAAATTGAATTTGGAATTCCTAACCAAAGTGGAGATATTTGAGGCCAAAGTGGCCAGTACGACAAGGCGTCAATTTCATATGTAAGGACCTAATAGTTATTATAAATGACCTATTAACATTCCTGTAACTTGAAAACTATTAACCGTTAATGCATATCTAACAATGCTGCAATACAACCATAATATTTGGACGAAAGTTCGACCAAGACATTTAGTTTAGCTCAAACGACGAAGTTAATGTTCAATTCAGCAAATGCATGCAGTCAAAGTTAAACCAATTGTGAAACGTATTATATTAATATCCATTGTGGCGATATCTACAATCTGCGCTTTCAAAGCACTGTAATGATCTGAAACGCGCTAAATTATTCCGACCTCGACCTTAGCCACTGGTGCTTTCGGGCAGCCAGTGGGTAGACTGGTCGGGGATACCCCTAAGTTGGAGGAACAGTCCACATCCATACTCATAATTCATGACGGAAAAGATATTCGACTTATGGTATTTCAAGAAGAGTCCTTGCCGCGCACCACCACTAAAAGGTCAGCTACGTACTTGAGAGCCCTCTGGCATTGAGAGTGTCCATGGGCGGCGGTATCACTTAGCATCAGGTGAGTCTCCTACCCGTTTGCCCCCCGTACTACAAAGAAAAAAACCAATTAATGTGGAACCAGTTGCCCGCTTTTCGAACCATTGTACTTAGAGTCCTTCAAGAGTATACCAAGTGTACCAAGGCCGGCAACTTGCGAACCTTCTGGCAATTTGAGTGTCTATGGGCGGTGTTATCACTTAAAATCAGGTGAGCCTGTTGCCCATTGGCTCGCTGTTACATTAAAAAAAAGCAAGTAATAAACATCTCATCAGGGCAACCGCAAGTCGCCTTCAGGTTTAAATATATATCATAATTCGTGTAATTTATTAAGAACCTGTTACCTGGAGAATGCTAAAAGTTCTTCGTGTTTTTTTTTTATTTCGTGAATCCCAAAACATCTCTCTAGACGATACAGCACGTTTTTGGTACATTTAAGTTTTTAATTATATAAAAAGAACGAATCTCATACTATAAGCGATTTAAATTTTTATCTTTAAAGCTTAGTTGTTAACATTTTAGTATGCCACAAAGGTTACAATGTCATCGGCATCATTACATACACAAATAATAAGGTATTACCTCTGCTATTGACATAATCAGGAACTGGGGTAGCAACAAAGCCATGGTTATGGAGTTCGGCTCTGAAATGGTGATCACATCAGCTTTCTGTAAGTCAAAGGAAAACTATAAAATTGTATGAAAATTTCTACGGCAATCGTTGTATTACATAGCTTATAGTCTTTGATATAAGGTTGGTTTTTCTTTGTGTAGTCTTTAAGTTAACAAAGTAGGTCCATAGTGAGTGATGCAGTGTTTCCCAACTGGGGACCACGCCCCACAGGGGGGCAATCTGATTGTTAAGGGAGGCTATTTTATTTTAGGAATTTAATTTAAGAATTATGTTTGGAAAAATTACTTACAGTGACCTATAAACCTATCATGTAACAAGAGAGTGAGTATGAGTTTCTTAAGTGAACAATTTAATTTTTATATAAAAAATGATATATGTTACTGTATAAGGATTAAAAAGGATTTTAGAAAGGCTAAGGGTGGGGCATGAAGGGTTGGGAAACACTGCTTTAAAGTGAATAATTTTAGAATTTTGTATCTTTGCGAACAAAGTCAGATACAAAAACGATTCAATTACAAAACAATAATACATTTTAAACATCAACATCCGTACTTTATAATAAAGTCTGTTATTTCCGATAATTATACTTTACCAGCAGACCCGGCCAAGCGTTGCTGTGGCTAAGATTTTTGGTATATTACATAGTAGCAAACTATTCAAGGGAAACGTTAGGAGAACACCAGTCATGGGGACAACCATGCTTTTTTGGTGGTTATTCCATTAAATTGTAGATAATGTGAAACGTTGGTACTTTCAACACAGCGCCATCTGTTAGAATTGTGACTATCACATAATAGACAAATATTTTGCAATTAAATAATATTGCGGGTATAAATTTAGATGAAAGCTATCCTATCTTTTAAGTTGGATCAAACTACACACGGTGTGCAAATTTGATTGGTATCGGTTCGGTAGTTTAGGAGTCCATAGCGGACAAACAACGTGACACTTAATTTATATATATTAAGATGAGAACAAGTAAGTACGCGAAAATACTTTATTTCGAATGTGATTTCTTTTGTCGCAAATATTTTTTCGTTAAACGGAATTTAACGATTGGCGCTGAATCGATGTTGCCACTCGCCATTACTCGTGAAATCTGTCAAGCCGTTTAGGAGTTTAATTACGAAAACATGCACAGAAAAATTTATATATACCTATACCAGCTGTTCATTTGCTGTATAGATGTAATCTAGTTACTGACTGCAGCGCTATCTGCTGGACTCATTTCAATCTAAACCATCCAGGGCGCCACCCAAACGCATACAAAAAAAAATCAAATCGGTCAACCCACATAATATAAAGATATATAACACAGCGCAATGAACCTTATAGTAAATCAATATAACACATTAATTTGATTCAGTCAATCTATTTTAAAAAGGAATTTGTACAAATTTAGAAACAGATTTAGAGACAGAAATTAACTATTTAAAGCCCGAATGTCAAAAATATATTCAAAATGCATGATTTTTTAAAAATACTCACATAAACGCCATCAACTCTATCCAAAATAATACAATAGACGCCTCCACTCATCATACTAATGTCATTTAAAATAATATTCGATCCCATTCGTAGTGAGTACAACGAAGCGAATACTTCCATCTGCTTTGAAACACCATTTGTTATAACAGCTTCTACTTCGCTTCGTCTTTCATTGAATAAAGTAATAGATGAATTGTAGAGTAAGTTTGACGCTAGAAATCTAAAAATATATTACAATGATGAGTATACTTCTGCACTGGGAGATAGCTAGGAGCGTTATTCAGAAATGTGTTAAAACACGAAATCATTCTCCAATTCTTACAAGCTTTTAACATTCTTGGTCTTACAAAAATCTGAGCCCAGACCTTAAAAGATATTCTAGCGGATTCGACAGACGTTGTCCTGTACACACGTCTTACATACAAATATATAATAATGTAAGTAATTCTCGACTCCCACAAAAAAAATCATAAAAATCTGTTCAGCCGTTTAGGAGCTTGATTAAGAACACATGCACAGAAGATTTATATACACCAGCTGTTTATTTTCTGTATAAATAAATAACCTATTTCGCCTTGTGGCGAGCGTGCGACCCTCATCCCAGAAGTCCTAGGTTCGAACCCGGCTGTGCACCAATGCACAATGGACCAATCTATGTGTGTATTTAACACTCGCTCGTACGGTGAAACAAAATACGAAAATCGAAATTGATCGGCGGGTACAGAAGCCTGGTTCAGCCTTCTGCCTATTAGAAAAAAACAACTGATCACGTAACAGAAATCTGAGTTCCAAGGGTTGTAGCGCCACTGTTTTTTTCTGTGTCACTCTGCGTTTATCTCTTTCTAACTTGTACCTGAATCTTAGATCCAAAAGTTATAAGTTTTTTAAACACATTTTCACAGATATTTAGATCTCTTTTTTTAGGTTTAATAAAGCCGGTCTCATAGTAGATTTTATTTATAAACTTAAATACTTAATAAAAAATAAAACATAGATAAAAATAGATAATAAAGCATAGACTTCTAATGCAAATATGTGGATTACCCAACACACAGCGTTATATACGATTTTTTGATCAGTATTTTAAATTATCGAGCAGTGTTGGTCTAATGGCTTCAGCGTGCGACTCTCATACCTGAGGTCGTAGGTTTGATCCCCGGCTGTGCATCAATGGACTTTCTTCCTATGTACGCATTAAACATTTGCTCGAACGGTGAAGGAAACATCGTGAGGAAACCGACATGTCTTAGACCCAAAAAGTCGACGGCGTGTGTCAGGCACTGGAGGCTGATAACCTATTTGCCTATTAGATTTAAAAATGATAATGAAACAGATTCAGAAATCTGAGGCCAAGACTGTTAGTCTATAAAGTTTAAATTTGGCGCCTTCAGCAATTATAGAATGCATCACTTGTTGTCTATGTCATATCTGATAACTATGATTTGCTCTGTGTACAAGTTTACTTCTTTTTTCACCATTGTCTGGTTTACAATAAAATATAATTAACACAGTGATTAATAAAATATCTACTCGTATCATTTAACAAAGACTTAAGAGGTTAAGAAATTATTAAACGAATCTTACTACATTCTTTAATTACTAAAAATTAATATTAACGATTAAAAACCTTTACTAATAAGTAGACTTAAAAAACTGAATGTCACCGAAAACGTTATAAACTCCTATTTCCTACGCAAAGTGAGTTAATATACTCGCGTGAATAATTTCCGCGACACATCCCAAGCTTAAAATTAGTCTCGCAATAACCCTCTGATCCAATTTAAACCGTGAAAGAATAAATTGCCTCAAGAAACGTCGTCGCTTAAGAAATAAAATTTTAATAATTTTCTTATTTCCAATAAAATAATTCGTTATTTAAACATTTGATTCACATTTCTGTAGCTTAAGCTTAATTTTTAATTCTGTCATTGGCAGGAGTTATGTAACCTAACTTTAGTTGATACATATAAATATGTTAGTAAATTTAATAAAACACTATTTTGACCGGATTGAAGTTATGTATTATTATAAATTTACAACTATTTAACATAATTTTAAATTTATCCGACGTTTCGCGTGCTTTACAGCGTGCGTGGTCATGGTGATAGTGTTTTATTAAATGAATAAAAGTTATGTTAATCAAAGACAATAAATACTATGTGCAACAGTACGGACTGGAAAATGTAGTGTTTTATTAAATGAATAAAAGTTATGTTAATCAAAGACAATACTATGTTAGTTAATCATCGCACACTTGAAGCCAATATTAAGCCCTTTAGTTATTACCACACTCATATTGTATTTTGACATTCTCGTTTCCGATAATGTCCAATAACATAAGTGTCATTTAGATTCGTGAACCCTTAGAAAAGCCAAGGCAGTTTTTGTTAGCGTCGCATTCCCACTACCACCATTAAAGTCTCTGTTACTCAGCTTCAAACAAAGTATTTTATTAGAACATATCTATACAAAAATCCGCCACCAAACTGAATTATGAATTTAATTAGACATCGTTTTGGAAATACGATAGAAAAGGACTGTTAAATCAATTTAAGGTTCAATCTGATGTTGTAAAATATACGACAATTAAAGTGGACATAATATATATATATATATATATATATATATATATATATATATATAACATAAGATTTACACAGATAGTTTACACATACAAAAAAAAACTTTTTCTTAATAACTATATATTAAATGCTGTCTTCTATGTAACATAATACAGAACATAATTGAGGTAATTAGCTTTAAAATTTAAAGATTTATTAAGAAGCAAGTGGTTTTAAAACCTACGGACTATTACTCCAGTGTCAAAATCTCATACGTTGTCATGCCGTTTCTGGATAAGAAACTTTAGTACGCGTGTCCCAATAGATTATTACGCACTTGTGAAGGAGTCGTCGTGAGAAATGCATGTCTAAGACCTAAAAATCGACTTCAACTGTAAAGTACAGACGATGGAATGTGCCCCATACCTCAATATTAGGCCAAAACTCTTACCTGACCACAGGCAATCCAGATTTGCTCTTATCAACATTATCTATAAACCTCTGCATTTGATTTCCACTAATAAAAAACGAAACTGCCTTTTGGTCTTCTAGCCATAAATTTTCATCCCTCGGTTCAATACAACCTCCGCTAAAAGTTGTAGTCAAATTCTCCATCCCTTTCACTCGTACACGCTTGTTGGTGAAGTGCGAGTGAGGTGGAATGGTGTAAACAATGTTTTGCCCATCGTTGTGTATGGCAACAGAGCAAGGGTTGCCATTAAAAATTCTAAGCTGAGATAAACCAGTTTGTGGCAATTCTGGATATGTTGTCTGTAAATGTAATGTTGGAATTATACGGGTGGTAGTTTATTTTTTATTTCTCAATGGAGTTGTATTCAGGCATTTATTTCGAAAATAGAATCACAATGAAAATGAACGTCAATAAAGAAAAACATACTAAATGCATCTTATTTTAAATTTACTGCCACTTCTCAAATCAAGGGCGTAGAACGAACTGGCAATAAACTCGCCGCGATTAGACAAGGAGCTATTAAGATTTGGTACGATAATCCTAAAATTCTTCCACCTTAATAATTGCATACACAATATTCTTAAACTACGTAGTAATAATAAAAATAATTAATAAAAAGAAAATTAAAATTAAAACAACTTTATATGCAATTAGTTTGTAGTTTTAAGTTAATTATTTCCATTAATAATTCAATTGTCTCACCTTTATATGAATTTCAACGAGTGCCGATGCAATAAACGCGATCGCCGCCAATATTCCTCCAACTGTCAATTTGTGTAATGGATTCTTTAGCATATTACGTCTCTCTAAATATGGGTATATGTACTAAAATAAATTATAATACTTTACGTCACTACCTTGATAGTTCACAAGTATGTATTGAATGCTTTATATAGCTAATAGAATACTCTATAAAAATCAAAGACATTTTTTATTCTCTTTGATTAAAAATTGTTCAATCATCTTATATATGTGCTATATTCATTAAAACACGGAAAGAACCAGCTGCCCACTGAAACATTTCCGAACCTATTCGACTTAGGGCATCGCACTCGCGAGCCCACTTGCACTGAGAGTGTCCATGGGCGGCGGTATAACTTAACATCTCCTAGCCCATTTGCCCCCCATTCTATATAAAATAAAACTTCCACAGGTGATACAAAACTACAGGCTTATAATATATACTATATATATATATATAACTAAGCGATCGCAAAGTATGCAATTAATATATTTCATCAATACATGTAAAGAGGTTCCTTTGCTCATAAAGATTTCAAGTTGCTTCTAAATTTATACGAATTTGCAATCTAGGGCATTTCAAGTGAACAGGAAGACACTTTGATTTTATTCATAATTGCATTTATTCTACTTCAATGGAACCTGAAATACTGCCTCCTTTATAGTCACAAATACGATTTGAAAAAATCGTAAAAAAAAATATTTTTTATAATTTGTCAACGTTATCGAAAAATACTTAAGCTTCTTTGCTGTTTTTCTCATACTTCTCTTATTAAAGAGATTAAAACGATAGATAATAATAATATTATAGATAATATGATTATTATTATTTTCTACTTAGTATTATTTATTTTTTTCTTTGCTACTGAGGCGCAAACTGCTGTGGTCTCTGGCAGAATGACCAGCGCTGTGGAACTTTCTGCTCCTCAGCATAATGCTGAGCCAGGGCCAATTACAACCACATTACACACACATTGCACACTTGAAGCGAACCGAATGGCTATAGGGAATTTTTAATTTTTATTGGTTTTGATATTATGTCTTATTTTATTTTTTCTTTGAGTGTTGTTATTTTGTGTGTTTATGTGTGTGTGTTTTCGTATGTAATAAATGTTATGTCTATGATAGCACAATTCGTTTCATTGTCATTAGTCCATAGTATCTCATACATTACTTATTACATAAATAGACAAATTCTCATCATCCATTATTACATAACATTGAATTTGAGTTCGAATAACTGCTTTTTCGCTGCAATTAACTGGATCGATTGAGCAATATGAACAATTAAAACATAATCCCGTGTCGTGTTTGGCATTTGACAGAACTCCCTCAGATGCCCCGTGAATTTTAAGATTTAATGATTAAAATAAGTAACTGCAGCCAAAAAATAAATAATTAAAAGTATTTTGATACATTATTAAAATTCGACGCTGCTCTACAGTCCTGCGATTCTGTAACTCACTTTTCGAACTCAACAGCGGTTTTCGCATCGGCGGTCGCTCTCAAATCAGTCGTGAAGCAGTCATTTTATGATTGAAAAGGTGGGATCTTGTAGTTTATTGTTTATCAAAATGCCAAATCATAAAATGACTGCTTCACGACTGATTTGAGAGCGACCGCCGATGCGAAAACCGCTGCGTGAGTTCGAAAAGTGAGTTACAGAATCGCAGGGCAGCAGACGTATTCAAGGCTTTTATTATAAAATGTGGACTAAACATAGCTACGTATTTGTTTCCATGGTTACTTACGTTGTATATTAAAGAATCGTGGTCACAAACTCTAAAAAAGTAATATATCGTATGACTTTAAACACGGTTGTGAAACACAAACTACATACAAAATTAGTTTATCCCTAGGTATGTTTTTAAAATAATATTAAAAATTGTTTTAAAAATAATAGATACATGTTGTACATACAAGATCCTAGACAGCCTTGCAAAAATAATTTTACAATATTACATAATGCTGTCAAAAATATAAAAATTATGATAAATTATGTTAAATAAAAACCTTACCTTTTGCATCAGGGGAATGAAAATGAGAATACAAATTGGTGCAATGACCTGAAGCTGATCTGGCTTGATAGTAATGAAACCCAATCTTCCGTCCATCTTCGTTGCTTGTAACGTCCATCTTGAACCCTTGAATATTTATTTTAACATACAACATTACAAACAGTTGAAGACACACGCTATAAATATTTCAAAATAACTTAAAAACTTTTGAATTTTTTGAAAATAGAATGTCCGTTTTTACGGAGCCCCAAATATCTATAGATCTGAAAATTACCATAGTTTTATTAAAAATTGACGTAAATTAATAAATTTACGTCAATTTTTGATCGATAACTAAGCTTAATAGGGGCCTCATAGCCTAGCGGTCTTATTAAGTGGCAGCTAGGTGAGGGGTACCGGGTTCGATTCCCGGTTCGAGGGCAAGTTTTAATTTAATTTAAATTTGTTCTCGGCCTTTGGGAGGGTTGTGCGGTACCGGGCGAGTGCCTAAACCGTACATGGAGGACATGGTCGAATTCTAAGGCAAAAAGCACGAATTATAAAAATCTTATACTTGACGCTGGCTAATGCACAAACCGTGCCAGATCCATTAAAAAAAAAACTAAGCTTAACTAAGCTTTTGAGTGCTTAAATCAAATAGTACCGCAGGGTTTTCTATACATAATGCATTTGGCATATGAAAATATTAGTTTAGGTAAATTAGTGAATAAAATTAAACTTACCATCTGATCTAATAAAGACCAAAACACTGGTATTACAGTGAACAACGCAAGTATCGACAGTGTTTTTTTTACATCGCGTATAAATCGTTGGTCATATTTGTGATGAGCGCTGTCCAGCCAGTGCTCATTTTTCTCTTTTTTCCCTTTCAAAAATGTATTTTTGAGACCCAGCTACAAAAAATCTTTAATTATTACCTCATAAGCTTAGGCTAACTTTAACGTGGAATCATTAGTGTTGATCAAGTGGCTTCAGCGTGCAACTGTCATCCCTATGATTTTACGTTCCAAGCTATGCCCTAATGGACTTTCTGTCTGTGTGCTCATTTAACACTTTTAATAATTGCTGGTACGGTTAAGGAAAGCATCTTGATAAAACCGGCATGCCATAGACCCAAAAAGACGACCTGTGTTAGGCACAGAAGGCAGTTCATTTACTTGCCTATTAGAAATGAAATGACCATGAAACTTATACAGAAATCTGCGGCCCAGAGATAAAGGGTTTTTTGTCAAACGCCACTGTTTTTTTTTTCTTCAACATGCCTTGTAAATAAATTTAATTTCAACTAAGAGCGGCTTAATACTGTTTGATTAAATTAATTCTAAATTCTAACGACATGACTCGCAACATTAGTGCGCTGATCCTCTGTTATAAATCTCATTAATTTCAACAGGGTATGGACACAATGATTTTTTTCTTTATAAACAGTATGTCCCTTCCGTAACAATTAATATTTCGCTGGCAATCGAGTTTCTATCGTGGCTAAGAATATGAATGTATAACAATAAACACAAGATGACAAAAACATCTCCAGTCCATTCACAGACACACACTGGGTACAATCAAAAGAAACAGGACATTCTATCGTCTTTGCCTAATTCTATCGTTAACTCCCAAGCTAAATTAGAGAATTATCACGAAATAAATTCAAAGCCCTCGTTAAACGTAAATTAATCAATAAAGCTTTTTATAAATTTGACGAATACTTAAATGATCCTAATCCTTGGGATTGATTTGCTCCAGTTAAAACAATTTGTATGACTCAAAACTTAGCGATTAAAATATTGGCGGAAAGATTCTTGCCAGTTATTCTTGCCCGCTCTATGCCCTTGACTTGCGAACTGGTAGTAAATGTAAATTTACAAATAATTTAACTTGTTTGACGTTCATAAGTATACTTGTTTACCTATATGAATTAAGATATTTTGAGTTTGAGTTATTTCTTCTAAGCGATATTTTGATCAAAATTGGCCTTATCTTTAATACACATGAATTGTCATGTTCGCCTGCAGTTACGTGTTTTTCTACTTAAATAAAATTGTTATTTATTGAAGGACTTACAGCAATACACTTGACAAAATCCAGTACTATATTTCCAGATGGCTGTTTCATAACATATTTGTTTTTTGCACTCACGAATATTACTGCAAACACAAACAAAAATTAAATTCTCAAGTATTTTGAGCGAAGAAAAATCTATTGGCATAACCGGACTTGGGACTTCAGGGAATCAAAGAAGATACAGACAACTATCATATAATATTAACGCATATATGAAAATACGAAATTTACTGAAATAATGCGGAAAATTTCGTGTTTACAGAAGAAATAGTAAATTTAGTGATAGTATATATATTTATGTTTGTTTAGCATTTTGTCGTGTGAGTATTTGCTTGGCTCTCCTGTGTCCTGTGCCACTCTCCGACGGCTTTTTCCTTAATCTAAATCATCTGCTTAATCCACCTTTAAGTTGTCATCCTCTTTTGCGTTTATTGTAACTTGGGCAAAAGATCTTTTAAGCTTTTGCAATTTTTGCGTCAATTTCCTTCATAGTTTCATCGGTCATCGATATTATCTGACATATTATATATTACTGTTATTTAATAGTATATAATTACTCTTTAAGTTAAATAGTATAATTATTTCGCTTTGAAAAGTCATCCTTCCAAAACGGTTTACTTGTTATCTCAACGCAATTACGAAAAAACCAATTAAAAACAAAATTAAAAAACGCGACAAACGTGTACATCGCATTTACATAATCGTTTTTAACGTCCCAAAACTTTTTTACTTAAACTTTTTGATTGACATAAGTTTAATAAGAACTTTATCAAGAATGTCTTGATTTTAATTTTAAAGTTATTTCAATTATTTGTTTCGAAGTAAGGAAACGTAACGTCAAAAACAGTTCTATTTAATTATAATTATGCAAATTTCATTGAAGCGTCAAAAACTGTCTTTAGTTTCAATTCATAAATCATTTGAAACGGTTATGAATTTATAGAATACTAGCTGATCCGGCAACGTAATTTTGCCATGTATATCATTTATAATAAAAAATAGGGGTTGATCGTAGAGGGGGGAAAATTAGGGGTTGTATGTATTTTTTAATGCTGTATCATAAAAAAAAATATCTAAAAATTAAAAATAAAATAATAATTTAGGGGTGTACCCTTAACATTTAGGGGGATGAAAAATAGATGTTGTCCGATTCTCAGACATTATCAATATGCACACAAAATTTCATGAGAATCGGTCAAGCCGTTTCGGAGGAGTTTAACTACAAACACCGCGACACGAGAATTTTATATATTAGATGGTTTCGAATATTCAGTTATCTCAAGGCCCAATTCATTGCTAATTCCAAGAAACAGATGCGGAGTGCTACAAGCACATCTAACATTTATTGCTATGAATTGTATGAAACTCTAGAGGAGGTTCCTCCGGCTTAATGGGAGTATCGTCGAGCATTATACCTCTACAAGACCTCAGTGTCTAAGGTCGATTCATGGTATGACTTCTACAAGGAACGCAAAATTTTCATAAACTTGCGTCATGTAGGTATATGAAACTAGATAAGTTTTATTGTTTTATCTAAAGTATGCAATTTTACGTTAGCTTTAGGCTTAGAGTGTCATTTTACATAGAGTATGTATGTAAAGTGACGCATCCTACTTTAGAATAACAGAAAATAATTTAATTTATTTGATATTCAAATAAATTTCTTTAGCTTTAAAGTGAGTGACACTCCTAAGTCCTAATGCCTGAGTGCGTTGCCGGCAATTTAAGAAAAGAGCGTTCATATTCCTTAAAGGCAGGCAATACACTTCCAAGTCGACAATGTAAGTATCCATGGGCCACTTACTTACATTGTCAAGTATCACTTAACATCGAGATAGCCCCCTGCCCGTTAATAGCAACGATTCTTAACATACCAATAGAAGCAAGAACAACGAATCCTGGTGCACCAAACGCCAGCGAATAGCAATCTTTCTCCCCAAAGCAGTGCACCTCTGATCTCAATATTGGAGATACAGTCTTCGCAATCAAACTACCAATACATAACGTAAAGTAGAGGATACTGAAGTACACCGCTAAGTGTTTTTCTTGGTGGGGCAAGACGAATTGTTCCCCCCCAAAGGCGGTCACGCATGGTTTTATCCCCCCAGTGCCCACGGTTATCATGAACAAACCTAAGAGTGTGCATAATCTGAAATAATATGATAAATTTATTGTTTCTTCGTATTTGTTTTCACGTAACTTATACTGTAGTACAGATAGTTTATATAAAATAAACGTGAAAAAAAAAACGAAAAATGGCGTGAAAGTAATTTGACGGAAAGAGATACCTGTATATTTGAGGGAGCTTTTTCTTTATTAATTCTATGTCGAAGCTATTAAACATCTTAACCACACGAGACGAGTAGAACATACAACAACAACAAAAAAGTGCGTGCGTATAAAGTACACATGTCAGAAGTGAAACTTCTTTGGCAAACTAATTTTAAGTCTTGTTCATATTTATACAAATCTAATACCTAAAGTATTAGATTTGTATAAATTTCCGAGACTTAGAGGGAGGGAAAAAGGAAGATATGTTAGGAATTTAATGAATTTAATGGTCATTAAAATATTAAGTGTCGAAAATTAATAGAAATTATTAATTTAATTTTTAAATTTATTTCTTCGATAATAAAAACACGTGGCATTTTAATTTACAATACGTCATTTAAGATTGCAATAAATTATTTTGCATAAAATATAAAATACTAATATTTCAAAAATTCTCTTTGAGAAATTTTAATTTTAAAATTATAATTTCTATAAGGTAATTCACCCTACTCACTCTCTCTCTCAATCGCTCTCTCCCTTTTCTTCGACAAAAACGCTGCACATCTTCGTGACGTTCCGTAAAAAAAATTCCCTCATTTTCCTAAAGAAGTTTCACTTCAAAAATATTTAAGGCCTAAATTACTCATAAGTCATTACATTAGTCTCACGGCCAAGTACAAAGTAAATAAAAAAAACAATCAAACCTTCCAGGAAGGTTCAGTTGTGGAATCGCAGTAACAGCCACCAATATGTTACCCGCTGCATACACGAACATCAAATAAAGTATTGTCCTGAAAACAAAAGAAACTCAATTTACATAACCTTTGTCTATGTCCGTTTCAGCTCGCCGAATCTGTGGTCAGTGACAAATTGAGTGTCCAATAGCGCATAAAGTCTGCGCTTCTTTTTACTTTTTGTAACCTTTGGATATTTATTTATTGTTCAAAATTTTAAAAAGAAACAAAAAACTTAATTCTTTAGGGTACTTGGGTACAGAAAAACGTTACGGCGCGTTACATGGGGGGGCGTCAATAATATATATATATATGTATTATTATATTCCCTACTATACGTTTACTAGACGTTTTCGTATAGAGACATTGAAATTGAGCAGGGAATAAATCTAGTAAATCCACGGTTTGAAGATTGGAAAACATTTCAACGGCCTGCTTAAAAGGTGATACCTAAAGAAATCAAATTTGCAGTATTTAATTAAGAACTGGTGGCAAATTATGTAATTTGGAACTTTCTATCTTTGCTTTCCTAGAAAAGCCAACGGCCTGCCTAAACCATAAGACCGAAATGGGGTATTTTACCAAAAGTTGTAGAGCATCTTGAGCAATTGATAGAAGAAGTGGGAAAAATTTAAAATAGCTGAAACAATTAAAAATAAATTTATTGAGTGCGGTTTTCCACGGAACATCCGATTTGACCCAATTGTAAGTACCAAAATGAAATTGAGCAAAATTTTTTAAAACGATTTATTTTCATACATTTGCGTCTTTAAATATGGCCAGGGTGTCCGGGAGAGATAAAAATTTCAAAGAAAATCCTCCACACATATTCTATGGAACAAGTATTGTTCTTCAAGTTGAATCAGTTATTGCATATAATCAGTGACTCCAGTTGGCCTCCGAATTCTGTATCTGTTTTCCAGAATTAGAACATGAGTTTTCTTTTACAGTTCGACGAATATCATTTCAAAAAACAAATTATTTACTGACGTGTTTTTGATCCGGTAATGTGCTTAAAACTTATTGTTTAAATTGTTTATTTATATTTAAAAAAACAAACAAAGCATATCTCTTAAGAATGAATAACGATTTATAAAAATTGAAATCTATATTTATGTACTCTCTGTAGGTACATACAACTTGCGTGTGCAAAGACAATTATTTGACCCGTTTGCTTTTAATATTTTTTGTCTATGACTACTTGTGCCTTGTTCTCTAACATTATAAAAAAACTAGTAAGTACAAACACAAAAAAAAAAACACTAAGGATTAAAGATTTAACCTTGATGCCTAAAGGGCAGGGTAGGTGTGAACGTATAACCTTTTTCTTGCTTTTCTCGATAAATAATCAAACAATTTCTATAGCTATATTATTACAGGCTCAAACTGATGTTTAGGCCTTTAAATATTACCTGAATTTCCCCAACCAGTTATCAGCTACGATGCCGCCAATTATGGGAAAGACGTAGACAAAAGTGCTAAATAAATGATAAGTTTCCGTTGCCTCTTCATCAGTATATCCGAGTTTACTTCGCAAATATAATGTAAGGAATGCTGAAAAATATTGTAATGAAACTCAAAAGGTTAAAATTTAAAAGTTTAAAATTAACTATACTCTGATTTTTAATTCCGTAGAAAGAATTCTACGGCGAGCTATCATGTTTTGACATGTCAGAGATGGCAAACCTTTTTGACCAGGCACATTTTTCGATTTCAATACGAGTCTGAACATCTGAGTTTATACATACATTTTATTTGTTAGTGAATGTATCCATTTTATTAAGTGCGGTGCTCCACATTAAAAGTTTTTTAACGGCGAGTGATAATTACGTCCTTTTTCATCACACGCAAAAAACGCACAAGTAAAGATAACATTTTACTTTTTTTTTAAGTTTACTAAACTGAATGAAAAATCAGAGTAGGTATAAATAGATTTAAATATAAAAATTTGAATAGATGTTTAGGAAATTTATTATTATTGTACAATTGTTTATTTATATTTAATATATGTTTCATATACAAAAACAAAGTTATGATATAACTATTTTGTATGTATTGAGAAAAATGCTTTCCCGCCTTTTTAACTTAAGATTGGAAGTTATATAATAAAATTGTTTTAATCATATACTACTGTATCTATTAAAATAATAAACAACATGGTTGAATACAAAGTTGCTATTTAATCGATTTGATATATAACAATTAATAAAATAATATATATTTTTTTAAACTTATGCACTAATCTTACCTCTCATGCCCGAAAATGAAAATCTCTCGCAGAATTCCGTGAGTATTATTATGATAACTACTCGCGGAAAACGGTTTTTGACCTGAAATTAAATTAAAAATAAATAATTTATAAAATTTAGTTATTTCGACGTGATTTGTAAGCCTAGATGGAAGCTGTCCTTTTTTTATAGAATAGGGGGCATACGAGCAGGAGGCTCACCTGATGTTAAGTCATACCGCCCCGCCACCCATGGACACTCAATGCTAGAGGGATCGTGAAAACCTTTTAAGAAAATACACCCTACAAAACAAATGAAAGCTTGAAGTACATCCACTGGTTATCCACAAAAGTCCATAACAGCTGTTTTTTAACTACATTTATAACGACCACTGGTTTCTGTATCATGTTCTTTATTTGCAAGTAGGTGATCAGCCTTCTACACCTGACATGGCAGTTTCCTAAGGGCCCGTTCAAGTATTACGTAAGCCCTATAGGCAGGGGTCTTTGATTTTCTTATTTGGTGATTACGTCAACAGTAATTATATACTTTTTTACACATATTACCCACACATTGTCTATGCTTGAAAACGAAATGTATTTTCGAAGATTCCTACAAAACATAATATTTTTACGTACTATTATTATTTGTGCTTTGCTTATTTTTGCTGAAAAGAGGAAGGGGGGTAAATTGGGGATAAATTGCAGTAAATCTGCTTACGTAGTACTTGAACGGCCCCTTATGATGTTTTCCTTCACCGTACGAGCAGTGTTAATAGCGCACATAGAAAAATCCACTGTCTAGCCGTGATTCGAACGCATGACCTAAGTAAAGGAGAGTCTAGCTAGCCATTACACCGAAATTGCACCTTTAACATGGTGTAAAAAAACATTTGTTATTCGCACTCTTACCTTTGGTCGTGATTCGGCTGAAACCTGTTTCTCCATATTAAACACAATATAAACTAGATAATTAAATTAATTTCTTATTTATATCATTTGCAAACCAAACATGTCATCTTAAATCATGACGTCACGCCATTATCAGACACAATAAGGGAAATATGAACTTTTATAAATAGACTGTTTACAAGCTACTTTCAGCCAAGGGTATGTTCCAAGGTCATTTGTAATAAGGTTATTAACAAGCCTCCTATGAGATTACTAAATAAATACAAACAAAAATTACTTTTATTTATACTAAAACAAATTAGCTTAAGTTATTATAATTTTATATTATTCTATGTTATTTTGTGTTATATAAGTACTACATATTATAATAAGTAGTTCCATCTTATGGAGTCTTAAGAGTCTTAAAAAACATAACTATTAAAAGTACCTCAAATTATCGGCTGTGTTTATACTCTTGTTTAGCATTTTTTGAAACAGAAGGCATTTACCTATTTGCTAAGAGGTATCAATTCTAAAATTAAGGACTTAGTAAATCATTAAAAATATGTATAAGGGCAATGAACTTTTTACCAAAATTAGAAATAACGTAATGAGTGCTCGTTATTTGCTCACTTTATTTAGATATGTGACTAAAATTGGCCGAAGGTTGTTCTATAGAATGGAAAGGAATTCGTTCGCGTAGTAATTTTCCATAGACACATACAAATATGTATAATATTTGGTACTTGATAAAACGTCAGGTTTTCATTTCAATAAATTTTAAAATTATAAATATTACCTTTTTTTTAACTATTAGTTTAGTATCCATATGTTTTTTTTTCACAGGTTGAATTTTTATAGTACTGCATTCCGAACAAGCAAACAAACATCAGAGGAGTTGTTCGGACTTATACCTGCAGCTGAGTTTCATCATCGGACGTCAAGGCAGAATACAAAATACCATTTGTATCACCTTGACGTCCGTCGTTCCACAACTGAGCGTTCCTTAAGGTAATTTCTGCCGCGCACCAGCACTATGCCAGCTGCCCACTGAAGTATTTCCAAACCAATTTGACTTAGGGTCCTTCAAGAAAAGAGCGTACCATTTCTTAAAAGGCAGCAGCGCGCTTGCGAGCCTTCTGGCAGTGCGAGTGTCCATGGGTGGCGGTATCACTTAACATCAGGTGAGCCTCCCGTGCCGATCCCGTCTGCCTCCTGTAACGTAATAAAAATGGCTATACGTACGTACGTATGGCTATTTGGTAAACCTAATATATAATATTTATCTATGGGGTATAATATTAATTACAAGCCATTTTATAATAGATATGTTCTTTATGGTCTATTTTAGCGTCCTAAACCAATTTTGTATTGTATAATCTGTGATTAAGAAACGACTTGCTTCAGCTTGTGAGTTTTACAACTGTCAACTATCAAGTGTCAAGTCATTTTCATGTCAAGAAGTAAATGGACGGTTGCATTTAAATTTTTATAACATTAAGCAATAAGTAACAAGTTTACCAAACTGCAAGTTTGAACTATGTAGTTAAATTAAGTTTTAGAAAATAGGTGTTGCAGAATAAATTAATTGAAATTTATATAAGAATTTAATGACAAGAACGCTCTAGAATTAATCAGTCCGACTAAAAAGAGGTAAGTTCAATTTAACATTGATACTACATGTCAGTAAATAACAATATTCAAATTAAAAGAGTCATTTTTAACTTTTGAATTTATGTTATTAGTGCTTTTCTTACACATATTGATTTTTGAGTTTCTACTTGCTAATTTATTCTGGAAAGTAATATAAACATGAAATACGGAGCGAGCTAACACAAATATCCATAAAAAATAAGCATACATCTAATCAATTTCCTTTACAATATATTTGTTAAAGCAGCAAAAATGTCGAAAACAAGTATACCATCGCCGGCAAGATCGCACGGATCAATCACGCCCCGAAGGGTCCGGGCTCTGCCCAAAAGAACTCGTTGTTTGGCGTCTCCAAGTTTAAAACAAACTCCACGACTCACAAATATTATGGAAGATGCCTTTCAGTTGTCTCCATTACCCCAGCGACAATCTATATTAAATGATGAAACTGATATTCAGGAACCTCTACGTAAGTTGGTCCCGCGATATTCATTCATGATAGGAATAAGCCATTGGCACTTCCTTCAAGATTTGCCTTTTAAGATTTGGAGATAAGAACGTGATCACAGTTCAGTCTCGTTAGTTTACTAAATTCTCCATTTTATGCAATCTGCATTCAGATTACATTATCTTTAATAATTCTATTGTATAAAAATTATGTTTGCCATTAATTGAAGATAGTGTAAAATGCCCAGTAGATTAAACCTGTTTTAAGTTTTTATTGAAATCTTTTTAATGTTTTTGACATTCATAGCCTAATGGATTTAATATTAATTTCAGGCAAAAGTTGGTGGAAAAACCTAAATGAAAATTCGAGAGATATGCAAGAATTGTATGAAAATATGAATCCTCCAGTAGCAAATAATGTTTTAGATGATATCAATATAGAACCATCGAGGTAAGATTAATTATTCTCATACCAACTTTCTACCTTTTTGTTTTATGTGAAGCAAGCATATTATACAATGTGTTTCATAGGAAATCACATTAAAATGATAAGGCACAAGAGCTCTATGATATTAATCGATTTTCAAAAAATCTGTTAAGCCTTAATGTTTTTTACAACAAACATATTGTATGTAACTTTCTTGGAAACAGCAGTAACTTTCTTTTCTTAATTCTTAATTTCTAAATTTCTTATTTCATTTTATTCTAAAGACTATTTAGTTTTATTTAACAAGTACTCGTATATCATAAAATAATAATTTCCATACACAAAATCAGCTCAGTCAGCTCTAGTTCATAGCTGGTTGCGCGCCGCTTTTTCACAAAGTCATGATGCAACCCTTGGTTTTACATTTTCCTAATTTAATTGCACATAAATCTAAATACATTTGTTGTAGTTGAAATTTATTAAAATATTCAAGTTCAGAACATCTAAAAAGTAAACAATTGCATCCTATTAATCTTAATTGTTATGATTACGACCGAAGTGAACTTAGCTATAATATTTACGTCCCAATTGCAGGTATTCTTTTGATCCTACCGAACTAGCATGCCAATGCGAAAAATGGGTGTCTTAATTATTAACATTTTCCCTTGTACTTTTACGTTAATATTCATATTGGCTCTGCTATGCTTTAAGTAGAAAAACTATTGTGATTTTGTTTAAAACACGTTGTATAGTAATATATTATATAGCAAGTAATATATAATAAATTATATTCTAAGTTTAGAAAATAATTATTTAAATCAGAAATGTATAACAACATGTCTAAGAAAGCTATAGGTAATTTTAGTATTCATTGTGTATAATGTATATACATATATGTAAAATGTTAGTAACCAAATAAGATTATTTTAATGTCAAACATCAATTGTATATATGTATGTTTACATGAATAACTACTAATTACTTTTAATGTTTTTATTAATTATATTGCTTCATGGTAAATTAAACTGTGTATTCCCACTGACTCCTAAAATACTATTTAACTACATCATGAGCCTGGGATACATGTTCTGATCATTTTTTTTAATACACAATAATTGCTATTGTTTTACTGTAAACTTAATGTGAGATTTAGTTTACAGTAATCTATATTATATATTGCCAAGTGTAGGACATATTCTGATAACACATTTAAATTGTCACATTCACTCTACATATTCACAGTTTTATTATTAAATAAAATCTTTATTTGTTCCAGCCCAGAAAAAGAATTCTCTATAGAAATACCAGATAGTAGTGATGGTGAATCCATTCAAAGCATTGCAACCCCTCAACGGAAAAATATATTTTCAAATAAAGAAAGTACAAAACAAAACTATTTTAAAAATATGACTATTGTTCAACAAAAAAGAAAATTTTCATCGCAACAGAGTTCTGATTCTGACGATAGCATAAACATTGTGCCAAAGAAAATTTTTAACTACACAAAGGACAAATCTATAGAAATGCTTCCAAAAGAACTTTTAAAAAACCTTAAAAAGGATCGTGCAAATACCTCTTCCAGTATTGAAGTGCCACTAAAATGTATAAAAGCCCATAATTTGTTTGACAAAGAGCCAAAAACAAAACCCAAAATCTCAGATTTGGGTTTAAATAATGTACCATCTGCGTCAGATGTAGAAATGCATGAAATTTCTTCAAAACAAATATTTACTTTGAATAGACGGTCTAGTGTGAAACTACATGTTAGATCATCTATTCAAAGTGTTATTGATGAAGATTGGAGTCAACCTTTGCCGTCATCAACTATGATAGAAAGTATGTCAGAGGAAGAGACTCCAAATCATAAAAGAATTAGTGGAAAATCTGTACATCTAAGTCAAAGCCAGAACAAGCCTATAGATCAAGAGAACTCGATGGATAATACACTAGTTAGTGACAACAATGATAATATTGAAAACCCAAATCTTAGTAAAGCTCAGTCACAGTTGGAGGATATATCAGCTGATCATAATGAAACACTTGTTAATCAAAGCATTAGTAAAAACAACAAGTCACAGTTAAAGGACACATCAGGGGATCATAATCAGACACATATTAATAAAAGCATATATAAAGAGACTGAAAAATCTCTTAACAATAGTAATAATAATCAGATGCAAAACGATAAAAACAGTAGTTCTACCATTCCAGCAAACATTGTACATGAAGGTTTAGGAAAAGAAATCTCGAATATGACATTAAAAGACAATACAAGAGTATCAGAAGGACCATCTAATTCAAGTGTCAATAATTCAGGATGGGACTCTCATAGAACAACTAGAAAAACAATGAGACAAACATTTGGTAAAGATTTCACTCCTAGAAAATCATTGAGAACTCTTGTTATGGAAAAAACCGCTAAACGTCATACTGTTGGAAATTTCAGAAGTCAGGATATTTCAAAAAAGACATTAATGTCCAACATTTATCAAACAAATAATACTCATAATAAAACGGAGCCAGGTAAATATTTTAATTATAATGAACATGAACCTCCCGAAACTGATGACAATCAATCCATTAATGAAGAAAGTCAGACCAATGATAACCAAAATAACTTTAATAAAATAAATAATGAAATTGAAAAACAATCCGTGGTTGAACTAGAAAACCAATTAGGTTATCAAGAACAACTAGCAGAACCCAATGATCAAGATGAGACAATTAATCAATTGGCCAACCAGGAAATTTATAAAGAATCATCAAATTATGACGAAAATGATCAAATAGCTGATCAACAAGAAATGGTTGTAAGTAATAACGATGATGAAGCTGAAAATAGATCTGAAGAAAATGATAAGGTCGAACAATTTACAAATGATGAACAAAATCAATCAATTGATCAAGAACAGGTAGCAGAATCTTACAACAATTATGAAGCAGAAAATTCAACAGAGGCTATGAATCAGGAAGAAAATGTGGATTGTGAAAATGAAGATAGCCAATCAAATGATGAAGAACAAATGTCAGAAATAAACAATGAAGTTGAAAATCAAACCGAGGAAGACGAACAACGAGAAATGGTAGTAACTGATGATGAAGCAGAAGATGCTGTGCAGGAAGAATTGAGGGAATCTACAACTGATATGCCTAATGAATCGTATGACGAAGAACAGGTAGCAGAAACAGAAGCAGATCATGAGTATGAAGATGAAAATACATCAGGAGTTGAACAGGAAGAAATGATAGAATCTATTAATGACGCAAATAAATCGGCTTGTGAAGAACAGATGGCAGAAAGTAGTCACAATGAGGTCGCAAATCAAACAGAGAACGACCAAGAAGAAGATGAAGTTGAAAATCATTCTGAAGATGAGGAACAAGAAGAGATAAGACAATCCGATTGTGAACAACAAATAGAAGAGAACGATGACAGTGAAAACCAATGTAACAATGACGCAAGCAATAATGATGAAATGCCGGAAACCAACGATGAAAATCAAGATAGTTATGCCGAAGAAACGAACAATCACCTTAATGATAATGAAGATATAAGTCAGATGCCTCAAGCCAATTCTACAGAATATCCCGTTTTTGAAAGCACACAGGCTAAAGAAACTGCAAAGAAAGGTGTTAATAGACAAAAAATGCGAGAACTTATTGAGAAGATAAGAGTTGAAAATGCTGAAAAGAAAAAGAGATTTGTAAGTTTTTATGTTTACACTAAATATACATTTTTATTTTAAGACATTGTAGTTTTCTACATAAAAATTGTTGTTACTTGTCTATTACGATAACTTTTAGATTTTCCGTATTACTCGTACTATAGATAAAGATTCTGAACTATAATGTAAATTTGTTGTCGGAAACTTAAATAAACCGCTAGCGATGATCTATAATCTATATCTTCGGTTTGGTACTTGACAGGGACAGGAACTTCAAGAAACTTGAAGATTTTATTTTGACTTTATCCAAATCAAAGCAAAAATTGCTCAAATGAGCTTTTAAGTATTTTTTCAGCAACCATTGGCTTGTTAGAATTTCTATTTAATTAGCTTTAAATATTACAAGAAAAAAATTCTTTAACTAATTTATCTTAAATTAAAAAGTAGTTTTAATTTCGACGTCTACAGACCGATAAATAAAAATAATTACTACAATTATAATAGATAAATTTAATGACTACAATTTACAGGAAGTGGAAGTTAACTATTGGCGCAAAAATTTAAAACCTCAAAACACAAACACCTTCTTCAAAGTACCACAAAAACCAGCCATCAAGCGACCAAAACCTAAAGAAACTAAAAAGCCCAAACCTGCCGATAAAATGTTCTTTAATGTGCTTCCACCAGAGTTCTTTGAAGACATTAAATATAAGCCTCCGAAGAGGTTTCAACCGAGAAATGCGGCTTGGGCAAATAAACATTTGTACACATTTTTGGAACAGAGACTGGAGCCAAAGTAAGTTATTTACTTTTTTACACATCTGTACTTTTCATTTAATTTATTAAAAGATTATTTTATAACAAGAACTCATAGTTTTAAAGAACTACAAAAATTTGCCTTCTGCGCTATTGTCTTTAAAAAATCTTCTACATAAGCGACCCCCTGTCCAGTTATATTTCTTTGTCTAATTCGATGTTATTATCAATTATTTTTTTATTTATTACCTTTGCTATTTCTCTCTTTGTTTCTGGTATCTTTATTGTTATGTTATATCGGTTTTAATTAATGATTTTTATCATCTTTTTTGTATTACAAGGATTGCACTCACAATTCAAAGAGATCCCTTAGTACCGATAAGATTGTCCAAGGTATTATGACATTTCATGTCCGTAATGCTAGGTTTGAGTCCCAGAGTAAAGATATTTTGTTCAGATAAAGGCTTAGTCATTTGAATGTGGAATTTCTTTGTAATAAATGCTGAATTGTCGTCGTTATTTAAAAAAAATTGTTCTTCTCATAGATATGATTATAATGCCCGCGTTCGTGCCGAGAAATTAGTGGAAATGATATACAAATTCACACAAGACATTAGTCGCTTAGAAGTAGCTCCTGAACCGGCAGTTACCAATTTGAAACAAGAGATGGCGCGCCTCAAAATTGTCGATACACATTTTGACTTTTACGAATTTATTATCGACTTTTTGCCTCAAGATATACGTCATAAGGTATGCATAATTTATTTAAAAGCTATTTGATTAGCGATGTTTAATTGTACATGTGAATGTTTTAGGTTAAACGGAATTATTTGGCATGTTTTTTGCTGATTGGTTAATGTTTGTGTATATACTCTGATTTTTAATTCCAGAGAATTCTTACAGCTATCATTTTTTGACATGTCAGAGATTACAAACCTTTTTGGCCGGGTTGTAAACCTATATTATATATATATACATTCATATATATATATAATATTATATATATATACATTCATATATATAAACCTGGAATTAGTAGGTAGTGATGCCAGCTAAAGAATAAAACAAAGTAATTAAAGTTACATAATTCGATATATTGTTCGTGATATTGAAATATTTTGTTATTTTTGTATTAGATCACTTGAGTAAGTAAACATTTAGATTTACATTTTTGTAGGTAAAACATAAAAAATACATAGCATTTTATTTTTTATTGCCCTCAAATGGGTTAAATTTGTCCCTTTTTCGGTGGAGAACTTTGTTAGTAGCAACACTTATGAAATGTCACAATTCTACGGGATGAAATATCAGACTATAGGTGTATGAATTGTGATTTAATTAAGAACTCGTTTTTGTATAATGTGTGAATTTAATTGAATTTAATGGAACTGTACATACAAACACCATACATTTTTATATATTGTTTTAAGATGATGGTCTAAAAAACTTAATTCTTTTTTTTCAGGTGGTTCCTAGCGGCGTCAACCTCATACCTTTACCGAGACCCAGCGTATATTCTAGTATTATGACTCAAAATAATTGTTAATCAATTTAATATAATTGTCAATTTTAAGTTGTCATTCATTTTAAGTTTATGCTGTGCGTATTACAAGGTATTTTTAGATCTTTAAAAGTTAAAACAAGATTCCTTTTGTATACAAGATCGTAATAATAAAGCTATAAAATCTTGTTTTGATATAATCTAATTTTGTTTTTCTTTCCAAATTACGTTGATAAATGAATTGTAAATTTAGCATACGAAATTAGTTTTAAATAAATTTTAATAAACTAACATGTTTTTTTTGCAATATAGCAAATATGTAATCATACCTATACAACAAATTGCACGTTAAATTGATCCTCCTGCGGTTTTATAAAGTGAGTTAAAAATTCTATTTAACTAAAATATGGTAACAGAAAATATTTTTCGGACTTTTTAAAACGATTAGAAATTTCTAATGTAGTTAGTGGCTACCGCTTCGTTAACACAACTAATTCTCTCCTTGATATTTTACTAAAAACTCAATACGAAACTAAACGAAATAGCCTGATTTGTTCATAAAATTGAGAAACCTAACTATTTCCCTCTAGCGTACAAATGAAGATCAAATTATATTAAATTATAAAACATTACATAAAATTGGCGTTTTGTCGTACTGGCCATTTTGACCTCAAATATCTCCTCTTTGGTTAGGAATACCAAATTCAATTTTTTACAGCAATTTATTCGTGCATTTGTTTTTCGAAAATCATGATTCATTTCATTTTCCAAATTAGAGGAGCTTTAATTGGAATGTCATAAGGTGATATCAGACGGTTCACTCGAATGATTGTTCACTCGAGTGAATGCTTCATTTTTTTTCATTCTATGTTCACACGGCTTAGACGAAATGATACAGAAATGAACATTCATTGTTCTTTCTTTTAAATATGTCATCGAATGAAGTCGTACGTCTTGGAATTAGTTTAATTTGTGATCATTTAATCAAAGAGTTGACAAAAAAGAAGCAAAGAAAATGTCGACGGTGGTGGGTGCGACCATGGATTGAAAGAATAAATTTATTAGGAGCTTCCAATACATTGTTGAGAGAACTAGCCGTTGAAGATCCTGATTCATATTGTAATCATCTTCGAATGGATGAAAGTAAATTTGAAGAAAAGTTTAAAAAAAGTTATAACTTCGTCGACAACGTGATGTCCGTCGGCTACAGGACTCGAAACAAAATGGCCGAATCCGAATGAACGTTCTCTCAGTGTTCAGACCGTTCATTTCTCGTTCATTCGGAGTGGGAATGAAAGATACCGGATGCCAATATCCAACACTGTTGGATCGGTTCACTAATGAATTCATTCGGCACTCGTGTTTCATTTTTTGTTCAGACATTTCATTTCGAGTGAAATGTACCGAATGAAAGGTGAAAATGAACAAAAAATGAACCGTCTGATATCACCTTAAGACATCCACCATACTCCCCGGACCTTGCTCCAAGAGATTACCATTTTTATCGAAATTTGGATAACTTCTTGCAAGGTAAAAATTCAACTCTGATCGGTCGAAACCGCCATTAAAGATTTTATTGATTCCCGACCGAATGGTTTTCTTAGTAAAGGGATCAATGAACTACATTGGCAAAAGTATGTAGTACATATATATTATATTAAAAAAATCTACCTACAATTTGTTCCTCCCATACAAAACGCCAATTTCATATGTACCTAATATATAGTGAGTGATTTTTATAGTAAGGGATTGATAAAAAAACATATTTCTGTTAAACTAGGACTGTTTATTTTGAAAATAGGATACAAATGTACACTATGTTACACTGATGGAGCACCATACACGCTTGAAACTAACTTGGGGTCACATTCTTGCAGTCGTTTCCTATAACTAGTTCAAAAGATATATAAAAATGCTATAGGGTTGTGATTATAGGAACTCACTAGATGCCTAAGAAATGCCTTCAAAATGGGGTCTTCTATTATACCAGTAAAATTTTAATGTTAAATGCGAAAGTAACCCTAAAAATTTTAAATAAGTAATGATATTACGGTCCATATTTGCCAACATGGGCTATACCAATGGAAAATGCATTATTATAATTAATTTGCAATAATAATTTTCTACTAAATAATATGGAACAAGTGTATAAATGCGAACGAAAACCTAACATCTTAGAAACTAAATATACAGTTTGTGACTCAAAAACCGCACTAACCCTTACAAAATAATGATTATGCATGTGTTATAGTACTGGACGATGTATGCACATAGACTTAGAGCTTGTCCAGAAAGGGCGAATTCGCCGCGAATCGTTTCGTGCGAATTTAGAATACGCGCGTAAATCGCGTGAACTTCGCCAGACTCTCTCGCGCGGTCGCGAGTCGAGATACTAGGGACGCCTTGTTGCGTCCAGTTAACGCGCGAACTCTAGAGCTTCTTTCGTACTCAATAAAACTCCTTCTTAATTCTTCCTCAAATTCTCGCGCGTTGGTTCGCACCTTGTGGGCGCAACGGTCGCACGTAATACGCCCGTGAGAATCGCGGCGAATTCGTCCTTTCTGGATAAGGTCTTACGTAGTTCCAAATAAAATATATAGCAATTGGTTTTTTATTTAACATTGGTCGATTCAAGTTTTAAATGCTGACAACACTGATGGCGAAGGCAGCACAAACACCCAGATTTTATATTCATTACTGAGTTTTATATCTATTATTATCTTCCTGTGTAGAAATAAATAACAAGTAAAACTACTGTCAAGCATTCGAAACGAAGAGTTATGAAATAAATTGATATTTAAAACAGTATCAAAAACATTATTTTAGAGTATTATTTATTTATTTATTTAGTTACACTTTGTTGCTTTATGATATAAAAAAAATGAATGTGATCTAAATATATTTTGTAATTGAATAAATATCTATTTGTAAAACGTTTTTTTTTTCACCACACAGTTTCAAGAGACTAAACGAAAAGGGATTGTCGATATCAGGAGACTTTCTACGTTTGAAATCGATATGCATTTATCGTAGAGTACTGAAAATATTAAGAATACATTTAAAACTAACTTAAAATTCATAAAAATTCAACCAAACTGTCCAAATAGCTCTTAACGTTATGAATAAATGTAGTGCCTACACTATAAATGGGATTACACTGGAGTACAAAAAGGTATAAAATTGGATATATCATTGGCACTACTAAGACACAATTTTGAGGGTAGTTTTGATTAAACACTGGATAATACAAACAAAAACTTACCACTAATATGAAAAACTAACGTAAAACAATCTTAACAAAAACAATGGCCAAATTAAAGATTTTTTTTAAATTATTTGGTCATCAAAATCTCAAAATTTACAGTAATTAAACCGTTAGTTTTAACTTAACCACAGTTGAAATAAAATTGAACCGAGCGTAGTCTAACCAATTCATAAGCTAGTCACTAGTCTGTCAGATGTCAATGTCAAATTGAGTTCGTCAGTATTTTAGTTAAATCTGTAACAAAGATTAGGGTTATATATGTTTATGAATAAGGGTTATGATCGCCAAATAAATATTTGCAGCCAAAGGCTTATTATTAACCATAGTCAAGTTTAAAGAGAAGTCAACCCAAATGAAGTTTGACATCTGACAGTGACCATGACCTGATTGTAGCTAAAGAGATGGGCCATAGACAACAGCACCTAAATTAGCGTTTGCGTATATAGTATTATAAAGACAACATTTAGCTAGCTAAACTTAACTTGAATCACAATATACATATAACTTTAAAAAACTACGTTTGTAGGAATCTGTCATGGTAATAAAAATTCATTCGCCATCTCTCTTTTCTTAAAAAAACAGAAAAGGACATTCTAAAATTGATTTTGCCAGATTCCTACAACCAACAAGGTTATTGTGAAATAATTATTGCATGTAATAGCACTCGCGTCAATAATTGCAAAATAAAATCGGATTACTAATTAAATCCTAGAAAATTAACTACACTTGTGAGACACAGTTAGCTAATCACTGTCAAAATTCAAATGTAAAGTCGTTAGAATTAAATGTCTTTAAAGCATAAAACCTACTGAATTATTATATTTTATTTGAGAGATCTATTAATCTCGATGAAATAAAGAGATTGTTATTAAAAATTCTTATAAAAATTAGACCTTGACTATATTTAGATTTATGCGGATTTAATATAAAATGTAGACTAGTGTTTTTAACCATGAAAAAATAATGGTTGCCATGGTAACACATAGACATGTCAAAATCCAATAATCTTTTGGCATACGTGAGTCAGAGCGCTAAATCACTTTTCCGAACTTTTCCCGTGTCTTAAGTCTCCGTTCCATATTAAACCCATTGTGTTTTTTACAAATGAGGTTGTTACCAAGATATGCTTATTAGAATACTGTAATGCTAAACGTAAAAATAGCTTTTAGTCAGTACAATTAAAAAAAACTGAATTTAAGGAATGGTCGTTATAAATTACATTAAATCGCACAAATAATAATACGTAATATGACATTTATCTCGCCTAAAGATGGGTAATGCCGGCCATACACGGCCTGTGTCAAGTGTCAACTATCAGCTGTCAATGTCAACTGTCAGCGCAATGCGACCCATCTCTAGTCCGTTAAAAACCACTATTGTCAGTCTGTGGTATAGAATACTGAAATAAATGCTTAGCGAGGTACACAAGGCATCAATTCAACATAATTGGCGGGAAAAAGACCAAAAACGCCATGAGGCCCGAGGCCTTGCCACCAACCCGCGTCTATTTGTTCTATATGAGTAATTATATCACCCGGATCGAATGTTATTTCGGATTCGTCGGCTGAAAAGAAATTAAACATTTATAATATATTAGAATAATCTGTGCGGAAAAGAATCGTGGTTCGTGGTTGCTTATTTATTGTGTACAATATTTAAAAAAATAAGTAGTATAGTATAGAAAGTAATCATCTTGATACTTTGTATGTAAAAACTAAATATATAATTAATAAGAACTTTCCCGGTTTTTTTTATGTTATAGGAGGCAAACGGGCAGGAGGCTCACGTAAAGTGATACCACCACCCATAGACTTAAATTGCCAGAAGGCTCGCAAGTGCGTTGCCGGCCTTGAACCGGCCGGTTCGTTCTGCCCATCTATATAACATTTCCTGTTAGAAGCATATTTTTTCCTATTCGTAAGACTGCGCTTAGAACGGCTTCAGCGTGTAACTCTCATTGTAGTTTCCTCAGGATTGAGAGAATTGGAAGAAGAAATAGAATTCCAAAGCCTTCCAAAACCAAACAATTTTTTTTATATAAATAAATGTGAATAAAAAACACTTCAAACAATTAAGTACCAAAATATATTTAATTAAAACCAATATATAAAATCAAAAAAAATAAAAACTCAATCAGTTTTAGCCAAAATCTGCTCTTTTGTCTTTGTCAAATTTTGTGTACCCTGTGAATTTTTTTCGTTGTTTTTTTTAATAAAAGATTTAATATTTTTGTATTAAAACATACCTGCTTGATAATCATACAAGGCTCTTGCAGTTAGACCGGGGTCATCATCCAAATCTTCATATATTGAGCTCTCTTCCAAACCTTCGGGTGACACATCTGTAAAACCACAGCATATATTTAAAAAAAACTGTCGTCAAATACAATGTTACCAAAACTACTATCTGTCTTTATACTATATATAAATAACAATATCTTTGGTCTATATTTACCTTCATGCGTGGCCCCATTTTCCTTTTTATAATTAACATTTTCAATCACAGTATTTTGTCTACTTAACTCCGCGTCATTATTTTTACTGTATGGCGACCTCTTGATCGTACTAAACTTATTATCGGAATCATCATCATCATTTTCGTTCGAACTCGAGTAAGCCGGGTCGAAAATATCATTTTCCAGAATATTCTGTTTGATCATCGGCTCGCATTGCTTCAAATCTCTATAATCGAGATACTCTGTGTAATTGACAGAACTAAATGAGCTCGGTTCGTTTTCTGTGCTCGGACTAAGATCTGTGGGATCAATTATCGGTTCGTATTGTATCTGTGATGGTGTTTCCAGGCTCATCGTTATCTTGTCTATGTTCTTTAGTGGACTTTTTTGGCCCTCCTGTAACGAATCTGTAGCTTCCTCCTTGTCTATAGATAGCTTCTCTGTGGCTGGAGTTGGTGGTTTGCCTGTGGGTGATTTCTCTATGGGTGTTATATTGTCTTTGGCTTCAAGTTGTGTCGGCGATTTTGGTGTATGAATCGGTGACGACGGTTGAGATGTATTTTGGGAGAATGCATTTATTCTTTGCGCTATTACTGAACTTCTGACCGGTTTTTCTGGTATATTTGAAGACCTTAAAGAAATAAAATTAGTTTTATTCAAGGATATTGTAATAAAAATACTTTTTCATTAATAACATCAAACATTAATTTGTGTAAAATTGTTAAATTAAAAAAAAACAAGTTATTAATTTTAAAATGTAATCCAAAACGCAATTTCAATTGATATTTCCTTCCTTAACAAAAACCATTTTTTTTATTCCTCAAATTCACTATAATTTCGCTTCTAATAAAATAATATTTTGTACAATAATTATTCAGTCTCTTTACAGTAGGCAAAGCCAGATTTTCTTTTACCACTCACTTGTTATAAATCTGTCCCTGCGCAAGATTTTGCTGAAACATCTTTCTAGCAGCGGACGTCGAAGCACCAATAAGTTCTCGAGCCTCAACCGATCGCTCACTTACACTCGTCCTAGGCGCTTTATCTTGAGGAATATTTCTGAAATTAAATTAGTGTTTCAAAATTGAAATTTTGGATTTATTTTATTAGAATATCGAATATTAATTATATATAACTTAATTTATACGGAACTATAACAACGATACAATAAGCAATAACTAAAACAGAATATTAACCAAAAATTATTGATAAATAAATTAAAATGAATTATGATAATAACTACCTATAATAAAAATTATATTAAAGCATACCATTTCCAAAAATATTATAGTTAAATAATTAAACTACAAATTCTTAAACACAGAAACATCCTATTTCTCCGCCAGAACATCGAACAAATGTTTAACGTATTTAATTGCTTACATACGTAAGCATGAATATAAATGTTGTGTAAAATGGAATGATTATCAAGAAAATGTTGTAAGTAAAATCTTACTAAAGAGAAAAAAAAGGGTTCGTGTACTTATGTACGCGCGTAAGAAGTTATACTTTTTGGCATTATTAATAATACATACGGGTAGTCAACCTCAATTGTATTGAAGCACTTAGGACGGTTGATGAGCACAATTTTTTCACAAATATTTTCTAATATTAATTAGTATTGATTTAAATATTCAATTTAAATCACTTCTGATTATAATTCAGACGCACATATAAAATTCGCACTTGTATAATGAAAACAAAATGAATACACGTGTTTTAAATGTAGAAACTCAAAGCATGTGGATAAATATTATAAATGTAAATACACAGTGAACAGAGGCGGCGTGCGTGCCAACATGCGTTGCATAGTGGGCAACTTCATTCTGTTAATTTTGTGTCACGGTGCGCGCGCATCGTAAAATTTCACTCTCATCAATTTTTCATAACGCGCCTAAAGAAGTATAACTTCAAAATCAAAAAACATAATATTATTATATTTATGCATGAAACTGCAATAAGTCAACATTGAAAATCCCAGAAATAAAATGTTTATAAATTGTCAACAATGAACCAATTGAAATTGTTTGTAAAGAAATTTCCTTTAAAAAAGTAACAATCTCTACAGTTGTCTATGAAGACTTGATTTTAAAAGTACTTACTGTTGTTCAACCTGTGCCCGTTTAGCGGCTTCACGTTCATCCCTTTTTCTCACTTCTTCCTCAGCTTTCCTCTTTTCCTATAAATTTATTAAAAAATCCATTATAACTCGAACGAAAGAAAGAAAATCAAAAATAGCAAAATAAATAAAATGTCATATCGTCGCTGTAGAATGATAACCTCGTATGTCCAGAGAACCAAACATTACAGGAAACAAAAAATATTTCATTTCGTCAATGTTCGTTAAAATATTATTATGTGTTTTTGTCCATAGTTTTGGATGGTAAAAAGAACTTATTCATTAATAATATAAATAAGTCCTTACTTCATGATTATACCAGTTAAAAGACAATACGGTCTAAGAATAAAAAATAAATGGTTTTTTGACATACGAAGTTATCATTCTACTGTCTACAGTGACGATATATTGCCTGTGGTCTACGTAAATGACAAGACTCTTTTTAATAGATATTATTTACATAACTCGACGTTTTAAGTTCTACATCTGAAATTATTTCAGTAAAATGGTATTAGATCTTTTTGTACGATCCAATGTGTTTTTAGAAAGGAATTGCCCTTTAGTTTTTGTAAAGAGGACGCTAGAGTAATAATTTTCTAAAACTACATTTTTATTTAAATGAAGCTCACATTTCTTTAACGAAATCAGTGCACCAAAATAAATACAATATAACAATATTACCTGACGTCGTGATGGAAAAGTAAAAGAAATATATTGTACATAATAATACTTTGTCATAGTCATCTCAAAATCCAACAAAGTTTTAAAATCAAATAATTAAAACAAAACTCACCTCTTCTCTTTGTTTTCTCTCTGCTTCTACCCTCTTCTTCTCTTCTTGTTCCTCTTTCAACCAAAACTGGTCCCGTTCTTTAGAGTTTATTTCTTGTACTAGAGAAACAAAAGTGAGAAAATGATTTAAACCTTAGTCATAACCAAGATAAAGTTTGCTAATTGTTTTATAATTTCCATATTTTTTACAGCAACGGTTTTAGTGTTTTTTTTATAATCTAACTATTCGAATTATAATATTAAAGCGACACTGAAATTACTTTTTGTAAAGGATATAAATTTTCCCGTTAATCACGTCCTAGACCGCTTCAAATTCAAATAGGAGATTAGATTAGAGCTCTGAAGAAATATTGAAATCATATCAATGAAACTTATGAACCTCAGTATTAAAAAAATATTTAAGAGAACGGTGTTTAAATAATTCGAATATATGCGAAATTACAGAAAATATTGTCTAACAACAACCAACAGACTATCAAAATTGTATATCAATGGTACCTCTACGTAAAGTTTTCTTTCTTTTTTTAATTTCCTCTGCGACTCTCCGAGATAAAATCACTTCGTATCTCTGCGAATTCAGTAAGCTCATACTGGACCAGTTCGCAACACTAGTACATCACAAATATCGCTGGCGTAATGTTTACAATTAACACACAATGCGTTGGAATTATTGCATTGTTCTTGAAAATGGTAAACAATATTGTATATGAATCGAAAATCACAGTTTTACAAATGGAACGTGATTCATCGCGACCGCGTCAAACTATTTATTTTTAACTGTGTAATTCATTAATTTAACTCATTTGCTTCGACCTCAAAAGAATGATCAAAAGCAATACTGACAGAACAACTGTACATTTTTCTGTATTGCAAAATAGACCTTATCTGTATATTATAAAGCAATAAGCTAATACAATTCAGGATATCAGAAATTTTGTAATTTTCATAACTTTAGTTGTAATAAATCTATCCACAAAAACAAGATGTACCTTTACTTCTTGTAAATGATAAATGATTTATTTCTGTAAGTAGGTTTCCACAAACACTTTTAAACGTCAAACATATTTTTTTTTAAACTAGATGAGATCGACGTTTCCTATCTGACTACTCTGAGAAGAAACGCCGAAACAAACTCAGAGGTCACAGTCTCTTTTAAAGTCCAGACATAACAAGATTATGTGAAGACCATGTAGATTACAGTCTGAAATGGTCTTTTGAGGAAAGAACCACACAGATTGAGTGGACCTGTGTTAGGGTCATGTGTCGTTTTGCGTGAATATTACTGAAATAATTAAAGAACTAAAACTAACTTTGAATTACTAAATTTTTCGTTTCGATATACGTTATACAACAGTTAAATTTTAAAAGGCATGGCTTCAACCAACTTTTAAGTCGTCTGTGGCGGATTTACCAGCAAACTGAGAAGGCTAGAGCCTACGGCGGCAGATCTTTTTCAGGTGCCTAATAGACGCCGATTTTGCCGTTAAGTATATGTTTTACAGATCTGCATCAAATTTTGCCTATGACTTTTCCCTCCCTTTAGTGTAGCAAACCTTCCATATTCTAGAATAAAATAGCTAGTTCGCCGCCCTTATCTGCGCTCCCAAGCCTCAGCCTACACTTTAAGTGAAAAAAGCGAAATTGTTGAAAATGTATTTCTCTCTTCCCTCTATCAACTTATTGTTAGTCTTTACTTAGTCAGTCCTATTACTCGTGGTTGCGAACTGGATGGATTTTGTATAATTTTGTGATGAAAAAGCACACCTAAAAATTACATTAGGTGCAATTTCAACGAGTTGTTGGATTGTAAAAATAATCTAGACATGACAATTGTAGAGGCCAGGGCCGCACAAACTTCACGGCCTCCACCTTCAATATTTGTAAGTCCGCCACTGTAAGGGTCTGTTTCACAATGTACGGATAAGTTCTGCGTAAGTTCCAAATTAGCTATTTATTACTTATTGGTAGGATAAACACTATTGTTGCGTTTCACGACTGTCAGATAGCGCTATTCGACACATAAAGTCGATCATAAGTTATGAGTCCGATGAAGTGTCAAATAGCCCAATTTATCTTACAAATAATTTATGTGTTGCATAGCTATTTGGTACTTTTCCATATATTGTGAAACAGACCCTTAGTCGTTAAAATATATATACATATATATATTGTGTTTTGACTTTGGTGTAACAAGTCCACGCTCAAGACTTTGAGTGAAATTATTTATAAAAAATCGTCCTACACGAATTTCACAGGCACTGTACAGTCATGTCTGTAGACTCTTAGGTCCATAATCTAATTCATATCTCAATACTCAATTTTGTCATGCGGTCAAATATGTCAAACTTCATACAGAAAAAATGGTTTGACAGCTCTGAAAACTATAACTTTAAGTTTGATTGACGTTATGACGGGCATTAGCATAAGGCCATAAGATTCAGATACTTGCTTAAATCAAGCTCTTAAACAGTTGTTATATAATTTTAATGTTTATGGATTAAAAGTGTGTTCCAACTAACCTGGATTAACTTTCTGATAACTAGTGCCAATTGGTCCGCTAGGTGGCTGCTCCTCATTTCTATTAGACTTAAAGTTAAATGCTGAACCAGCTTTAGCCAAGTTGTCTAGGATTATTTTCTCATCCAGGTCATCTTCAGTCCGCGCATGAATTGTCGTATGGAATCCATTAAAGAACTGAGAGACATGCTTGATGTGATTAGCACATGTGCCTTTACGAACTGTTGGGGCGCCTTCTCCCTAAGGAATACAATTTAATAATTAATTGTGCTAATATCAAGAATATACTATGATGTTGACTTTAGTTCCATGATATGTATCTCAGTAAACTTTTTAGTGTAGGTATATTAGAGAATTGTTAAACATAAAAAACTAGAAATTATTATCTTATTTATCAGATATATGTTGGCGATTAATTAGATAAACTGTTATAAAAAGTAAAGAAAACATAATTTCTATTTTATTATTCAGTTAAGTCCCAAATGTGATATCAAATAAAAACAAATTCTAAACATATGTTTTCAGTTCTGTATCCCTCAATGGTACAGACACATTTTGCATTGGTAAAATTTATAATTTTTATAAAAAAACAAGATATTATGACGTATATAAAAACTAGCTGACCCGGCAAACATTGTTTTGGAATGTATATTATTTTTAGGAAACTTTTTTTTAGTGCAATAAAAATAACTATCTACTATAATAAAAAATAGGAGTTGATCGTAGAGGGGTGAAAATAAGGGGTTGCATGTATTTTTGAGTGCCCTAATATATAAGACATAAGTGTTTCTAGATACAGGCAGCCAAGCGAGCTATATTTTCATATGAGGAATCACAATTTCTATATAACAGATTCTTTCAAGTCAGGCTAGACCTAAATCTGTTTGCTTGTTTCTCTCGTTTAAGAAGCATTTTTGATAAATTGGATTCGCGTGTTTTGCTTTTTGCACATTTACAAAACATTATCACATTTATTTTTATTAATATGGGTCCGAAAAAGAAGATGATATCTGTTGATTAAAAGCATGAAATCATTTTCTTATTTAAAAACACTCAAATCTCATTGAAACCTATAAAATCCTCACTGGCCACTATAATGTTCCAGGAAATGAGCTCTTTATTTTAAGTGAAAATACACATTTGAGGGGTAGTTCTTTAAAAGTTAAGACCACTCAACATAACACAAATTTCCTAAAGAACTATCTCCCAAACCGAGTAGTGGCCGACTGGAATAGGCTTCCGGAAAGTAATCAGTGTACCATCTTTGAACTCTTTTAAAAATAGATTGGATAGTTACTCCAAATCTCCAAATACGCATACATCAACTTTTTAAGCTGCTAGTGTGTTTATATACATAATAATAACTGAGGTGGTTTTGGGTGCTGATTTGATGACGGATTAATGGCATTTCAATTTAAGGTTATGGAATGAATTAAACTTATACATCAAGGTACCACTGTATTTTGTGTTGAGAATTAATTTAAAAAAATTAATTAATCCTACTCCAATATTTTTACAACATGGAAATCATTTAAACAGGACATGAGAATAGCCTAGACCTAAGTTAAGAAATTAAAAATAATTAAGATTAGAAAACCTTGATATGTAGTTATAATTGAGCCATGTTGTGTTCAATCTTTTAAAGTTCAAGGACAATCTTAAGCTGGCACTTTTATGTGAAACATTATTTATATTATTACACTTTAAAAGTAATTATGTATTGAGAATAAAGAATATGTACTATATGTTTCTGTGGTGAAAGCATAATACGGACTGTGTTATGCTTTCACAGCCACACTCTTATCATGTACAAATCTATATTTAGAACAATGACAAAGACATTATATTTAACAATAACCAATAGTAATAATGGAGAAGTATACTGAATCATTTCACACAATATGTCATGAATAGTAATCTTTTTATGCTTGCCAACCTAAAACCAATATTCTACTATAGAGAATTCAACCCAGAATCTTCATAATATCACACTGAGCTTCAATAACTAAACCACACAGGTTAATTGTAAAAAGGTTATTTTTAGTTAAAGCGCTAGGCAGATATTTTCTTGCTATGTTATTTAGTAAAAGGCACACACTTCCAAACCTCAACTAGCTAAAGAATATTTTGTAACATTTATTTATTTCCAAAGTGTTGTGAGAGTGACAACGAGCAACAGGGTTGATTTCTATATTATTACAATTTATATAAACCTAATTTTATATAAAAAAAGCAATAAATTATCTTATCTCACCTGCCAATTGATAAGCACATATTTTGATATTGTACTATTTGGAATGTCCACTTTTAAGAAAGCATACTGTATCTTGCCACTATTGAATTCATCAACAAGTTCAGTGAGACCTCCATCTCCTTTGCTGATAAATTTAAGGTCATTTGACATCCCATCATAACTAAATAGGGCCCTGGGAAAAATACCAATTAAAAGCTGATAAAAATAATATTTACTATTTATTTACAACCTTTACCAAGAAACTCATATGTATGTAATCTTCAAAATGCCAGCACATACATTGTCTAGTCTCAATACTTACTAGGAATTAATACATTAATCAGCAAAATATAAACATTTTATGTATACCCAACATAACATTGCACATAAAATTCGCATATGGTGTTAAATTTATTTAAAATTCAACTTTCCATAAATGGGTAAACCAATTACTCACCTTTTCTAGAACTCATAAGCAATTCAGCATAATCATCTGGTCTTTATTATATTCCGTTCAATATATAATTTTAAAATTTACGAGAGTATGGCACCAATAAAAGCTTAATATAGGTATTAAATAATTATGGTAGTTTCCACATTATTAATTGCATTCGTATGAAGATAAAGAGAACGGTTATGACTCCTTCATCATCTTACTAATATGTGTTGTTTACTTAATTTATAAGCAAGCAAGAATCATTCAACTTACCAATCGGTGTCAGATTTCTCATCTAAAACATCTTTCCACGCCGCGAGAAGATCAGCCTTAAATTTGTCTAAGTTTATAGCCATTTTACATAATTTTTCAAATCAGAAATCCGCGTTAAGCTACCTATATAACTACAGCGATTTGTCTTAGTCACAACTTTCAGATCGAATTTACTTAAATTTTCGATTTTCACGACTACGGACCAATGACCATGGTTTGACGCTTAGTTTGACGGTTCGTTGATAATGTTAGATGATGTGTTGTCAATTGTCCACTGACAGATGACACCATATTAAAACAGATTATTATAGCTGTTTAATGTGCAACCGCCATAAAACAAAATTATTAGTTTTATAAAATTTTCAGATTGTATTATCATTTTCTATATTACATCCATACTATTTTAGAACAAGTTTTGTCAGCATCGTGAGGGATGACCCTTTGACGATAGTTTCTATATGTACCTAATGTTATATTATAAGCTATACGGAAGGGAATTTTAAACGTACATTAATAAAAATATTATATGACTATATTGACCTTAGCAGTTAATTAAAGGATAATTATAAATAAAACTAGTTAGCCTCAACATGACCCCGTCAATATGGACGAGGTCGAAAAAGGTGGAAACTAACCCCACAAATAAAAAGATTAAACATTATAAATCGTGACACTCCTTAACAAATGCTTTGTGAATAATTAGGTCATCCCCGAAAGGCCGTACGGTATTTCACTAAAATCTTACACTCTATCTATACACTTATTGAATACTTATGAAAAATGTAAGTCGAACCGCAGTAACACTGTCTCCATAGTACAGTGATGTCAGCGGGGGTTTAATAGATGCTGCACATGTACGGCTTATATGTTTTTTCATACATGACAAGGCTAACACTAAATATTTAACTATTTCTATACACCTATAATCACGTTCCGAAATAAATCAAAAGTTATAGTTGTTGGCCTTTGAATTCCTATAGGTTCATTTTAACCCAAATGCGCGCGCATTCTTATTTTCCATGTAAGTATATGTCCTTATTAGTTACAACCTTGCCACCGTTCTTCAGTCTATCAGAGCCTTTTACAGAGACCTTACGCCAGTTTTAGTATCGTTATGTATTTATTACGAAAATAAACAAACTTTTAATAATGTGGGTGGATGTCAGCGGACGTGAAAAGCAAAGCTACTTGACGCAAACTAACGGCTCTTTCATACCCGGGTAAGTTAAAAATTTAAATTTGTAACAAAATTCTTGTTTTCTAACTTTGCGTGCTAATTCCGTGACGACGACGCAAACAGATGTAGTTAACTGTAGTTTAATTACACTGGTTTAAAGTGAGTCAAATAAGAATTTATTTATTTACAATTGCACACAAGAAAATAATGAACACTGCAAATCAACAGACGCAATCTCTCCCAGGCAACCCGTTTAGTGAGAGTATTTAACGCACAGAGAAGTATAAGTATAGTAAATAAATTTAAAACAAATATTTTATTAGTATAATTGTGATTGAGATGCTTAAAAAATCAATTTTTTAGCTATTTGAAAAGTTTTTTAGTCTAGACACAAATAAAATTTAGTACTGAAGCGTGTCAATGCTGCTATTGAAGTTGGAAACCTTTTAATCCTAATTCGCTAAGTGTTTAATCTTCCAGTTGATATCAAGCTTAGACTAAACAGGTTCGCTAGCCGGTTTTTTCACCTTTCATTTCAGTAAGAAAATCGGAAATTCTGCAACATTAAAAATAGTCATACTTTGTTATTAGATAATCATGATTGGTGCAAATATTTATTTTAAAATTTAGAGGTTTATTTTCCAGCCCACAGACAATCTTTTAATTAATTAAAAATATAATGGAGAAAATACGCTTTATAAATATAAATGAGCCATATAATTTAAGTTTAATATTTGTACACACCTGACAATATGTTGTTCTAATTAGTATCTCATAAAAATTTTGATTCGTTTTGATTCACATAACTTTGAATTGTAACATTTTCGATATAAAGTCTTAAAACATTAATTGTCGTACCTAAGTCGTTCATTAATGTATAACTGTTACTTAAGTTATTTAGAAAAGAATCAAAGGCCGTTAACCTAATGCTGAGTTGTATCTATGATGTAAATATATCTATCTATTTATCCACCATTAGAAGATATAATAACATAGACGATTCTTTTAATTTTTCCAACCTACCTAACTCAGACTGAGTACGTCTGCCATTAAATAAACCAGAGGAGATTCAACCTCGAACAAGTCCAGGTACTTGGCACCAGATATCTGTATGTTTCGAGATAATTTTTTAATAGGCTTCTATTCTTCCTTCCTAGGCGATCAGCCTAGTGTCTAGCACATGTCCTTGATTTTAGGGCTTAGGCATACCGTTTTCCACGTGATGTTTTCCTTCATGTGCCTAGCCGTGATACAAATGCATCTCGGTTGGGTCAAGCCACTAGACCAACAAATCTATGGCTGTCAATACGTTATTAAATGAGCACTTGATAGTTCTATAACTAAAAATAAAATTGACTTAACATTGAAACATTTTAATCGAAGAATTCGAAAAGAGATGTATAGGACGACAAAAGAAAAGATGGACAGATGACATTATAGAACTAGCGGGACAAAGAAAAATGGAAAAATATGAAGGCGGCTTTTACCCTAAAAGCGGCCATACAAGAACTAGACCACTAAAAAAGAAAAAAGAAATCTGACATAACATGTTTTAAAACTTATACGTACTAACACAACTAATATTAAGGAATGCGAAATAACCAATTGTTGTATGGTTTAATAAAGCTTTAATAATAATAATAATCGAAGAATTGTCGCACAATTCGTCTGGGTTCACATTAAACAGCAAATTTTCGGCTTTATCGTGTATATCATAGACAAAAATTGTTATTCAATATTAGACTTATAAAACTTCCAAGTTTGGAATGAACTTTAAAGTTTAGTTTCTAAAGTTATGGCTACCGAAACTTAATAAAGTAGCGAAAAGTTATTTGGGCTCTAGCCAAAACTGTTCAAAGTGTCATCGCTTGTAAATTTTATCTGTAACTGAATTATTATCCTTTATTCAACGTTAACCTCATGGTACAGTACAAAAAAATCTACAATAAATAAACACTGAATTACCTACGCGACACAAAGATTTTAATTTGTTAAAAAATAAATAAATAAATCAGTAGCGCTGGGCCTCAGATTACTGAATCTGTTTCATGAGAATTTGTCAATCTAATAGGCAAGTAGGTGAGTAGGCCTCCAGTGTCGCTGTCGACTTTTTGGGTGTAAGACATGTCGGTTTCCTCACGATGTTTTCCTTCACCGTTCCAGGGAATGTTAAATGCGCACATAGAAAGAAAGTCCATTGGTGCACAGCCGGGGATCGAACCTGAATGAAAATCAGCTCGAATTATTATTTATATTTATTGTTAGAAGTAGGTCACCTCTTTAGGTTGAATCATTCAAGCAACCTTCAGCTTTTTTTAACTTAACCTTGAGGAAAGCCCGTGACATGGTGCCAATCGACTACAGTTTGTAATCAAATAGAAATCATTTTTCATTGCCCACGCAACACGCAAAATCTTGCGGTATAAAGGAATCCGCTATCACTTACAACGAATAGTAAAAAACAGTTTTAACATAAAAAGAAAGGTAGATATTTACCATGTTAACACTTCCCCGTGACCTTACTTTGACCTTAACCCATGAATAATTCATTTGACTTTCTAGTTCACGGGTCAGCATTTAAGTCTCAAAATAGCTATTCACAAATCACATTGTTTAGGTGATTGACGTTCAAACTTTTTATAATAAATCTGATTTAGAGATTTCAGTGGTTAATTTTCACCTTGGAAAATTGTAAAATGAATAAAAATAAATGCTGCCCCGGAAAACTTCGTTTCTCCTTAATGTGATTTTACTCAGCCTACCTTTTTAGTACATACCAACATGGAACATTTTGCTATGCTACCCCAGAGACTGTTCGGTTTTCTGGAATTCAAACTTTTAGGTTTTTCTGTAAATTTTTCTCTATATATAAACCTCAGAGTTTAAGTAATAAGATTTTAATTAACAAATAAAAAATAGGGGTTGATTGTAGAGAGGTGGAAATTTGTTTAGTTTAAGTATGTATTTTTGAATACATATACCCGTGTTGACTGTTGTATCATAAAAAATAAAAGCAAAAGAATTGTCTAAAAAATAAAAATTTTGGGTGTACCCCTTATCGCTTAGGGCTTTGAAAGATAGATAGTAGCCGTTTCTCAGACTTACTTAATATGCATAAAAAAATTCATAAGAATCGGTCGAGCCGTTTCGGAGGACTATGGGAACGAACATTGTGACACAAGAATTTTATATATATAGAGATATGAAGATACATATCAATTGTTTCTCATGCTCATATTTAAGCTTAATTACCCACATAATACCTTCAAAGTTTCAATAATGACTACCGATTCTCACATACCATGAAACAGTGGTGAGCGTATCATTATGATTTTATCACATTCGACATAGCAAGGCCGTACCGGTCGTTCCGTTCCTGGCACAACACTATCTCATCCATGATATATGATTAGTGATGGGGAAAATTGCAGATTGCTAAAATAGATACATTAAATACGTTGTCAAGAAAGTTGTTTCTTAGGCAACTGTACAAGTTTTGGCAAGGAACTAACTCACGTTTTCTTTTTTAGCTTCTCAGATTAATAACTGTCTATGGGCTACCCAAGTAAACAATAACATTCGTGGTTATTAAAATTATACCAATATTTCTGAGAACTAGATCACCAAATTTCAAATATTGATTTACCTATATTAAATCTAATTGCAGCATTACCGCAGTCAAATCTTAACAGATATTTTTCTACACTTTGAAGTGAATCTAATGTAGCAATAAAACTGATATATTTTACGACAAATAATCAAACTATACGTACTTAGATATGTACCATACGAAACGTACCAACAAACTCGCATATGTGTTATTTTAAAACAACTTTAGAACTCCAAAGGAAATTTACAACTCGATGTGTAGTTAAGGAAAGGTATAGAACCATCAACAAGTACTTTTAGTCATCTAGTCTTCTGACATTAAGATGTCTCGTCATAAGTGACGTAAGGTCTCCTAGGTCCTATTAATAATAGGATAGGTCTTCATAGGATCATTGGGGCCGTCCAAGTATTACGTAAGCACTATAGGGGCGAGGGGTGTCTTTGATACTCTTATTTCTTGATTACGTCAACAGTAATTATTTACTTTTTACACATATTACCCACACATTGTCTATGCTTTAAAACGAAATGCATTTTCGAGAGTTCCTACAAACAAATAATACGTGTATATACTATTATTTTTCAGAGCTTTGCTTACTTTTACTGACAAGAAAAAGCGGCGGGGATAAATTGCAGTAAATCTGCTTACAAAAGTGAAAATCATTTATTCATATAGGTAACACAATGTACACTTATGAACGTCAAAAAAATTAAATAAAACTTGAACGGTTTCCCCCATTTCTATAGTAAACTCTTGAAGCAACTTTTCACGTGAAAAACTCCCAGCCAGGAAGAAGAGACCGCGCTTTAATGTAAATCATCTGCCTTCAGCAGTCCCGTTGGTGTGTGAATGGTTTAAAAAACTCAGACATCTTACCTGTGTTCTAGAATCTAGATTATAAGGTTTCCTACGTAAAAAGTTCATGTCACCTAAACCTAGTCAGTATTTTCGTATCGTATATCAAACTGTACGAGGTCATCAGATTACAGTGGCCTTGAAAATCGCGTGCTACCAGCGATTGTAAACATTAATTAAATCAATAAAACTGTTTAAAGTACTTTTAATTATCACACAACTACTAATAAGTATTTGAAGTTAATACAAGCTTTCAATAGAAATTATTTAATTTAGCAATTTTATTTTCCTATAATAATCGGATAGGCTTGTGTTTTTAAATAAGTATATTTAAGTATATTTAATTTAACGTATTGTTCGTACTGTTTATTTTACAGTACAGCAGAACATGTCAAACTAAACAAACACGGGCCTTGTTTACTTGTTTAGGTCTTTGGAAAGAATCATAGATCATTTACTGGTATGCATTTACAAAATTTAATTTTATTAACATATAGGCTTTTTTTAAAATATTATGGCAATAGTTAACATAGGCTTCCTTATAAAAATATAAAACAAAAAACACCATTGATATGTAGGGGAAGATCGTTACCCTTCGTACGCGGGGCACATTCATACAGTCGAAATAAAACTTGAACGAAACAAAGTACAGTCTTGTTTTTGTATGTGTGCATGAGTCGAGGTACGAACTATACATCAACGAAGTTTCGCGAAATTCGCACCGATGAGAGTGAAGTTACAGGCATGGACGTGTTTTCGCGCTCGGTAAGTAATTTTTTGATCAATGTTTTTGTCTCTTGTTACCGTAGATAAAATAAGTTTTCGTGTAGAGTATTCTATCAGTAACTAGCTAAATATACTTAGATACGTCTCCAATACTTAATTTATGACTTTTTCCTATTAATATTAAAATAAGTTATATTTTGTTGTTATTCAGTTAGTGGGGTACTTTCGGACAGCACTAGATGGGGCACATTTGAACGAATTGTACAACTAAATTTGTATGAAAATATTTTGTCGACACGAACTGTCATTTTCATACAAATTAAGTTTTCCACTTGCTACATACAAATAATAATAAGGCATCTTGACTAAACCCTCTGGTAGGTAGGAAAGATTGTGTTAGTGTGCTAATTGCTAATATTTGCATTAACTTTGTCCTGTGTTGCTATCATTGCTATCGTCGATGTATATTAATACCTATTTTTATTATCTTTATTAAGGTTGATTTTGATGCCTGTGAACCAGATGCTTTGAATAATTTACCAATCCATCAAATAGTAGTTCCTTCGAAGTCAGTTTTGACACCAGAAGCGTTTCGACTCTATCCGCATGTTGTAAGAAGTAATAAAACAAACAAAATGACGACGACGGCCAGGAAAACCACGAATTTATACTGCCACACCCGAAAATAAGAAGTGCTAATCCGCACCAAAGATTAAAAAATGTGATTCTAAATTTAAGATACCTAACTAATTAAATTTTGGTTTTCTTAAGAAAAGCTATGTAATTTTTGTTCACTATAATTAAAGTATTTTATTTTTGTTTAATAGAAGTTAAATCTTTATTTTTGTGTTTAATTTCATTGCTAATAAATGAATTTTGATTTATATGTGTTGTTTTAATCGCACGTACGGAACTACCCCACAGCGTACGAAGGTACCCTCAACACTGTACGAAGGTGCCCCGTTGATGGGGTAGATTCGTACGTTTTCCAGATTTAGTTTAAATCATAATTATGGTTGAACAATCAGATGAAATCATTTGTCATTTACTTATATGAATCTCAGATAGTTAGACTATAAATTTAAGCTTGCAGATGATCGATTCATGGAAAAATAAAAAATAAATAAAAATAAAAGTTTATAAAGTATAATACGTAGACTAATACAGAAACTTTTAGTTTTAATTAAGAAGGGTTCTGATGTTTAAGCTCACTTTGATCCTGTATTACAACTTGTAGAAAGACCCTTTCTAGTTCTCTTGAGTATATAAGTTACGAACTATAGTCTTAATAGGTATTCAATATATTCGTAGGTTAATAGATAATAGAACAAACGAATATAACAAGGCACTAAAGCCAGCTCAGCGAGCGAGGAAAATTCAACATATTTTGATATTTATCTAGCAGTAGAACCCAGATCTGGGTTCATAAATGCTTAAAATAAGAGAGGGCCATAAACCGGTTTCACTTTTCGGCAATTCTCACTAAAAATCACCAGAAAATTAAGCTTTAAGTGGCACTCGCTATTTTACTTTTAATTTTTTTCGCGTAGCTCTTGGAACAGGATACTTGCTTGATTGACGTTCTAAAATGCAGGTCACAAATATTTATTTTTATTTATTTTATTCCATATCATTATAAATCTATATAGTAGGTAATTATAAAAGAAAGGCGTTTCTTTCATAGGCCGAACAATTGCACAATATTTGACATTTTTCTTGTGTTTTGTCATTGATTGAGGTTTGTATGAAAGGAAATTAAAAAAAGTTAACATATATTTATAATATATTAAAATGTGAGTGAATGAGACAGAAGACTGAATTTTTTTAGAAAGAGTATATATATCATGAGTCATGACGCAGGGACCGAATTAAAGCTGGTAAAACGGCAGGGCTAATTAATTCACCGATAGTAGGTGAAGCAAATGTTGCGCGATATTCTCTCATGGAAACATACCTTAACTAAAAATGAGTGTGGAGAGGCGGATGCTATCGTCGTATCGCGCTGGAAGCGGATAAGGCTCTGTTGTTACCGCAACCCGCCACGTCGATTGTTGGTGGTGGTTTAGTGGGTATGCACAATAGCGAGTCCCACATAACTCTACCGCAATGCATTTTCCCAAGTAAAAAACAAATGAAAACACATCGTGTGTGTTATGCAAAATGTCGCAAATCAATCAAATTACGGAAACAGAACGAAAGGAAAACAATAACACAGTTTTTACTTATATTACTTATTCCGGAATAACACTCTCACTTTACAAAGAGATGTCTTTGAAGACATTTATTTTAATTTCCTATTTAGCTGTGACTACTGCATTGCTTGATTATAGAAGATGTTTACTACATCGTGGAAAGTGTAAGTATTATTTATACATTATATTTACTTATTTATAAGTTGTTGCATGCTAAAAAATACAAGAAAATATGGCATTACACATTTTACACACATACAGATGAATTATTTTAGAAACAACTACCCAGAAAAACACAGGCTAACAACACAAATAAAAAACCCAAACATAAACAAAACTATTTATGTACAATCTTTGCTCAGTTTAAACGGCCATTAAAAATTACTTAATTTTTTGAAGTAACATTATAAAAATTTACTTAATTTACAAATAGATCCATTGAATGATCTAAAACTTGCGTCCGAAACCGAATAAAAATGTCTGTATATGAATAACAAATAAGTTAAAGACCACCATACCACATCCACATCATTAGCAATATTTTTTAATATACTCTACATTTATGATATGTTAAGTAAGAAGAAATTATGATTTTTACAGGTGTATCATATTGTCCGCGGAAAATGCACGCGTATCACACGCGATGTGATGGTGAAACTATGACACAAAAAACTTGCGACTCACCAGAAGCCTCTCTCTTGGGTATGAAGCGTTTAATAAACAGATAATTTTCCTGTCTATAAAACAAAAAACGTGTGACTTTTGTCTATTCTCTATTAACACAAATGCACGTTCCGTAACCTGCAATAATAGGTACTAAAGGTGTCATATAGTTTTCATGAAATTGGAATTTCTTCTTCAAAAGATCTTTTAATGTGGCTTGGTGATTCATGTAAAGAACATTAAGCTATCAATTATTACTTTTAAACAAATTAATACAATATTTGAGGAACTATATATAATAGGTGGGCTGAAAAGTTCGTAGGCTAACTAAAAACAATACTTGATAGAATTTGATTTGATTATATTAGTTAGTTATTAGTTGCCTTCGAGAGCGATACAACGATTATAGTGATAAAATTTTTCGATACCAATTTTATACTACGAAATCGTACTTAGCCTCAAAATAGGCATCAGTTTCGGCGATTATCTCTTCATCAACGCAAAATTTATGTCCAGCGAGCCTTCTCTTGAGGTCAGAGAACAGGAACAAGTCGCTGGGGGCCAAAAATGGTTGTTTAGTTACCTAATAGTTTTGTAATTTGACAAGTTTTAAACACATAATTGGATCTTTCGGGATCTCAAACTTTTTTGAAGTTAAGTTACTTTCTGATTGCGTCACACTTTATTTAAAGTCTTTATAATCGATACAGTAGTCTGTGCACGAGTTGTTATAAACAAGAACTTTTTTAAAGGCTACACATGCGGCTGGTCCCGTTGTGATTGCAATGGAAACTTGGTTTATGATGAGAAGTCAGGATTTTGCGTCACCGTAGAGTTCTGTGAACAGAACAGGTTCCCTGATGAAGTGAGGCGAAAGCATGGAGATACAGATATGGAGACCCAAAGGCGGACAAAAATACGACCATCTAAGAGGATTAAGATCCCCGATGACGATCCTTTAGTACATTTAACGTAAATAAATAATATTGCAAGATTATCTCGAATCTCATTTTGTTTTTTATTTATTTATTTATACATTCTAAATCAATGTGTATGCCTAAAAAATACAAGAAAATATTATGACATCATAAATTTAACACACATACACATCAATTACATTAGAACAAAAGAAATCTGTCAAAGGAAAAAATTAAACAATCAACCACAAAATAAAGAACAAAACAAAAAAAATATAATGATAACTAAAACTAAAAAGATAAAAAATAACAATAACAGTAATAAACAAAACTAAATGAAAACTTAAACCACATTAAGAGCCTGCAAAACAAAGTTACGGTAAGTTGGTAGACTGCTGTTAAACACATCAATATTTTCATCAATGTTTGTTGTAAGAAAAATAGTTTAAAAATAGTTATGGTGTAAATTAAGTTGTAAGAGCGAGATAGCCTATTCACTGGACCATTAAAAGTAGAAGATAAGCGAGCCGTAGGTACGTATAAAAAAGACTTATATTGACGACAACGCCTTTTTATAATGTATGATTTAGGTTTATCTGAATTTTCACAAGTATAAGAAAGAAAATGGAAAGAAATCGTTACTGACTGAGTCAAGGGCAGATCCATGGGCCTTAAAAAGACGAAGTAAATTATTAAAACACGGTTTTACTTTAAGTTATACTAACTATATGACGCTGAATGTAGCTGTATCCGTCGTTTCACAACTGAGCGTTTCTTAAGGCAGTTTTTGCCGCGCACCACCGCTAGGACCAGCTGTCCACCGATGTATGCCCGAACCAATTCAACTTTCCTTCGAGAAAAGAGCGTACCAATTCCTAAAAGGCCGGCAACGCACTTTTAACAGACCTCTGACAATGTGTCTATGAACTATCACTTAGCATCAGATGAGCCTCCTGCCCGTTTGACCCTTTATAAAAATACGGCTCTTGTGACAGATATTCTGAAACTTAAAACCGTCATTAAATATTTACGGTTACTTAAGCGTAAGTAAAGATTCAGATAAGTTTACAGATTCAATCGAAGCTAAAAAGGATTTTCTCTGCCCTATCCTACCTATAATCAGTTTTGAACTACTCGGGGAATAAATTTCGTATGCGAGTTCCATATATAATTATTCATCTTGTATTTAGTATGTATGGAATGTTTAATTCTATAAAAGAATGACATAAAAATTATTCTTTTTGATGTTGGTAAAGTGTATAAACAAGTACTTCCTAGTATCGCAGAAATCGATCACTTATAAACAGCTAAGACAATCGCCACAGGCAATTCCGAGTCATGCTCACGTTGTTGTTCTTGTGTTTGTTGAAGACTTGTGACTCTATGTATTATGGTAAAGTTGGGAGTCCCGGATGCCTTATGTATAATGGAACATGTAAGTATTAACGTTTATAGATACTAGTATAAAAATATGAATAGAACGTAACCAAAAAAGAAAATAAGAATTTTACTAAATTTTCTGCCGTTCCAATTCTTGCCGCGCACCACCGCTTTATGAAACCAGCTGCCATTCCTGATATCGCTTAGGGACAAAAAGTACCGTAAAGACCGGCAACACACTTGCAAGCTTCCTGGTGTTGCAGAAGTGTATAGGCCGCACAAAACATTTAATTTTAAGTGTGTGCCTTCTCGTTTGCTTTCCATAAAAAAGCTTCAGGTTGTAGAATTGTATGTAAAGTAAAGAAAATGATTCGGATCGGACATTTTCAGGAAACTAAATATCATATAAGATTATCTTGATGAAAAACGAGAACATGATTTTTTAAGAACCTTAGCCATTTTTTTAAATATAAACAAAAAAGAAACCGCTTAATTTTTTAGTTTTTGACATTAATTGTTTTCAGTTAATTTCAGAAAAGTATTACATTGAGTTCTCGGAGATACCAATTAATATATATCAATTTAAAATGTTTTGCTTTTAAGAAAAAAAAATCCTATTGTTCTGTTTATAATATCTTCCAGGTGTGGATCACTGTCCAGAACACATGCATAGATTGAACAGCGAATGCCGTCCGACTCCATCGCAACGCACTTGCGACGAACCAGTCGCATTATCAATGGGCACGATTTGCGACTGGTCGCGGTGTGACTGCGACTTTCCATTCGTCCTCCACCTTCCTTCAGGATATTGCTTCGCATATGAAGATTGCCCGTAATAAAATCATGTTCAGATACCGTTAAATATAAAACTTTATTGGATAAATGGGATTGTGAAATCATTCGTGTTTTATTGCAAATATTACGTTCCCTCAAGTGATAATAATATACGTAAAATATATTATATTCAATGATTTTTAACGAGATCAGTTGTTCATAGAATATGACATAGTAGTCTTAAATTTACGAGCCACACTAAATTTTATTGAATTTAACGCATTTTAATACTTATATAATATATATATATATCGACTTAACAGTTTAAAAAATAATGAAACCGAAAATTATTTACCAGTTTATTGATAATCCAAACTTTTTTTAAAGATAATATTTACAATTTTTAAAATAAAAAAATATATACGAAGAACATTATTTACTAACAAAGGCAATTTACTAATTTATTGTTTGAGGTGTGTATGGGAATGTGTAATGTAAGGGGTGTGTGTGCGATTTTGTGTGATCTTAAAAATCCATTTGATTTGATTATCTCGAAAGTCGAGCCTCGCGTACTCTTTATTATATAGATTTAAAATAGGTGTGAGGATATTTTTTGGATCATAGTTTATATGCTCATTATGACAAGTTCTTTAATCTGATACATTTAAGTGTTGTACTTTAAGCAATTCGGAGCGGCCAATATTGTTGATTATATGATGATGATTACCTAAATCTATGTGATTATTTATATACTTTTAAGTATTGGTAACAAAACTTTCAGGTACACTGGCCACTGTCCCTTGCTCAAGTTTCGATATGGAAAATGCTATGGGGATAACACTAGGCAAATTCTTCGTGAAATACGATCAAAGGGTCTCTTCAAGTAAGGACTTTTAATAGCACCGTGTTGTGTCACAGTATAATATCTTCTAAGCACTTACGCACTTTGACTGCTTCTAGGCGTTATAAATTCATGTTAAATCCAGTGGTGGATTTTTATCCAGGCTGGGTAGGCTGGAGCCTAGGCCGCAGATTTTTAGGGCGGCAAATTTGGGAACCGATTTTTTTTGCTACCTCGTAGAAATCAAAAAGATTTCTGCATGACGGTTTACTGATGTTTTACAGATAGAAGTTTGCAACCAACCCAACCCCCTAACCAGTAATCGACCTCTCCATCCTCAGCTCACACTTTGTATAAGTGAAAAGAGCGAAATTGCCCTCTTCCCCCTATCAACCTAAACATGTCAGTCAGGTGGGAAGCTGCGAACTGGATGGTTTGTGTATCATTTTGTGCTCAAAAATCAAACCCAAAAGTTATTTTAAATGCAATGACGTGCAACGAAATTGTTGGATTCTAACAATAATCTAGCACATGACAATTGTAGAGGCAAAGGTTGCAAAAAAATAACAGTCTATAACTTGAAAATTTGTAAATCCGCCACTGATTAAATAATATAATAAACAGTAATCATACATACATAAATACAATTTGTTAGCTTAATGCCTTTATTAAGACCAACCGAGTTTCGTCAATCTAAACTTGAGCACAAAATTTAAAAGTGAGATATGGTTTAACACAATTTCAAAATTAGTTAATTCACGCTGTGAAGTAGGAGTTAGGACTAAAGTAAGGCTTTCTAAAAGACTCGCACTTTAATAATAGGTTATGTTAACGCACGCAAGCATCAATTAACTAATTGGTATGTCTATTTTTTATTAATCTGACAGTGACGTAACATTTGACAGCTATTTGAGTGTAGTATAGTAGTAAAATACTATTTGTGGTTTGTCTATATACAGTACAATGATCATTGTTTTCAGTAAGCCATTGGAATATCGTCCAAGGGACAACTACGAATTGGAGAATATGCCACGACTCGACGCAAAACGCAACGTCTACGACGGTTTAAAGCATCGTCAACCGACATATTTGACTGGATATACGGGATACGTGCCTGGGATGAACTTTGCGTAATTATATTATTACAAACAAATATGTGTACAACAAAAAATCGCTCAGCATTTCTAAAAGTATGTTAATCGTTAGGGAATTTAATGGAAAAGTTAGTCATCTATTTTAACTAAAGTACCGGGCTCTTGTTTTATTACTTCCCGTAGCGATGTCGCAGCCAACTGGCTTAATTAGCCGTTCAATTAACAGCCTAGCCGTTAAACTAAACGACGCCGTTTAACTAGCGGCCTGAAAGATGCAGCCAGTTGATTAAAGAGCTAGGAAATTGACTTGGATCTATGACGTTTCATTACTTGCCTAGCCTGTTGACCGTTAATTTAAATTTAATTCCACTTTCTGCCACTCTCGAACTCGAAACGAAACTCTTCAAACTGTCAATATGTTGCGTTGTATGCGTTGGCAAACCACAACTCTGATGGTGTTTTCCAAATTTTCATGAAAAACAACCAGTACAAGGGAAGAGGGAAGTGACAATAATAATGTGAATTTGACTTAAGCAATTTCACTTTAAAAGAAATATTTTTTATGTCATATGTTTTTCTTTTTTATTTCTGCCAATTAATGATTCTATCGCACGAATGGCCTAAGCATTAGCCAGCCAGTTTATAAATGTAACAAACGCTACGGCTGAATATCTTTCAGGCCGTTAGTTAAACGCCGCCGTTTGGATAAAAGGCTAGGCTGTTAATTGAACGGCTAATTAAGGTAGTTGGCTGCGACAGCGACACCGACAGCAATCTCTGAGTATGATTTTTTTTACCATTCGATTCGAAGGTTGCGACATTAGCGCTAAGATATTGAGAACTATATCGAACTTGCATACAGAAATGTCGGATCGGTCTTGAATGTTACAAAATTCTTTATAACAAAACAATTTTACAGAAGATGATTGTGTAAAAGTAAAACTCAACTCAACTATTATACCAATGTTATGAATAAATGGAGAATTTTACTCTGAACAGAATTATCGGAATTTTTTAATTTTCTTATTGCCTGTTTTTTTAATAAAAATAATAATATTCAGGTACGGTAAATCCTACGGCCGCACGGCAGATGATTGCATGGCAGACTTCTCGCGAAATCAACGTCAATTGAAGCGGAAGGCAGATTTGAATAAAAGCTATGTGCGATCTCGAAGCGCACCTAAAATGGAAACTATTCACTCGAGAGACGAGATCAGAAGAGATCTCAACAGATTTACCGAGATAAATAAGTATAAGGGTAAGGAACATTATGATAAGTAGGGCTAGAAAGACTTCCATAATAACAGAAAGGTTAGCAGGCGTGATAGCTCTTTCGAAATCAATCAACATTTCTTAGACACTGTGCGAATACAACACATGTAAATAAATCCTAATGAAAACACTAATTTATTGCATTATTTCGATCGATGTTTTGAGTGCTTTCAGCGAGGTCAGTGAGAGACCGCTACATTGTGAGGATGGATAACTTTTAATATACCAGTAATAAAGCCATTTGAGTTTTTCCTAAACGAACGCCATTTTGGAATTAAAGTTCAACTTTTTTTTTCTATGTCTCTATGGTGAAACTGTTAAAGTAAAAATACGTTGTAACCTCTTTCGTATATAATATGACCTTAGTAACGGTTGTTTTTTTACTTTTTTAAGCTGTTACTCTTGGAGAAACCTAACCGGTTTTTATAGCAAACTAAAGTTTAATTAAAATATATTTTTCTGGTTTATTACAATGGCATGATTTTTAAAATAAATGTATTATTTCAGAAAATACAATATCACCGGAGTTCCCACCCATCGCTGGCTACACAGGTCATATACCACGCATTAAGGGATCAGAGGCATCTCTAAGCCAACGATATCACTGTGCCGCAAAACGCGGATTGGAACTCATACAAATTGAACGAGAAAATCGAAAAGAACTTCAAAACGCCGACGCAAATATCCGAGCCATTATCAAACCCAACGACAAGAAATACTCTTATTGGAATTGGGGATAGCATACGGGTAGAAGAATGTTCTTTACCAAATATAGGTGAACATTCTTCTTAAAATGTCCGAAACGACAATCTACGCGTCAGTATTAATCGATTGTGTGATGGACGTTTAAAGTTTAAACCGAAGAAAAAATTGATGAAAATTTGTCAATTACGTATTGTGGGTATCTATTTTTGGAGGTTATTTTGGGATCCAAATAAGAACGAATACAAAATACCTAGTTTCATTTTAGAAAAAAATACTTTGTCAGGAACACAGATAATACGGGTGCAGTATCATATTTACCATTATCAGTACCAGATATTGGAAAACATGTCACATTATCGAAACTAATAACTTTTTTTTGAAGTGAAACTTCTTTATCGAGGTTGGAAAATAAAGAAGTTTCACTTCAAAAATTTAGTGTAACATTTTTTCGTTACGCGTCACATTTTTCGGTTACGCGCCATGTTGCTTTTTGAAGTCAAACTTCTTTATCGGCGTTGGAATGAAACTTCTTTATCGACGTATGGGAGAAATTTTGTAGCAAATCGTCACGTTTTGATAGTAATAATTCTATTACAATTAATGAAATTCTATAATAATCTCCGTAGTAATAAGGTAAAATGAAATATTTGTATTCATGTCTATGATCATAAAAGCCTTTTGTTAAACTTTATCTAATTTAACGAATTTCTGTAAAGTTGCATATAGTAGATCATTTTTCGAAAAATAAGATCATAAAGAAGTTTCACTTCTTACGTGTGTACACCTAGTACACGCACAATTTATTTGTGTCAAGATATAGAAGGCTTACAAAACCTCCTTCAAAAATAAAAATAAATACTTAATATCAGACAGTTCAGCATTCAATAGAAGTTTTAAGTATTTTTGAATTACCAGTATCAGATCAAAAGAACTTTTGAAGGTCTTTTTACATCTATAGGTACAAAACAAAATCTTAAAAAATAAAAACAAAAAGTGCGTGCGTACAAAGTACACATTTCAGAAGTGAAACTTCTTTGGCTTTGCTTTCTTCTATTTTTAAGTCTTGTTCATATTTATACAAATCTAAAACTTTAGATTTCTGAGACTTAGAGTTTAATGAATTTAATTGTCATTAAAATATTAAGTGTCGAAAATTAATTTAATTATTTTTCTTCTATAATAAAAACATGTGGCATTTTAATTTACAATTCGTCATTTCATATTTCAATAAATTATTTTGCATAAAATACTAAGACATATTTCATAAATTCTGTTTACGAAATTTTTATTTAAAAAAACTAATTTCTATTAGGTAATTCGCCCTTCTCACTCTCTTTCAATCGCTTTCGACCTTTTTGACTTTCATCGAGACGTTCCGTAAAAAATTTACCCTCATGCGCCTTATACGCGTTGCAGACCAAGAGCTAAGCTACGTTAGTTTAGCTTAGCTCGCATAGCTGACGCAATTTTCCATACATCTGTGCAGACCGCAAACTATGCGAACTAAGCTATGTGAGCTAACTAAAATATGCGAAGCTAAGTTAGTTGTGTATGCCGATGCGCAGCTACACGAGCTAAGTTAAGCCCCTCCCGCTACACCGCACACCCTTTGCACATACTATGCAACACTGACTGAGCTTTGGGTTAGCTGTTGGTGTGCACGCTATTTATTTCTGGCTTAGCTTAGCCTAGCTTGCTTGGCATAGCTTAGTTTAGCCTTGGCATAGCTTAGTTTTCGGTCTGCAACCGGCTTAAAGAAGTTTCACTTCAAAAATTATCTTAATATCAGACATTTCAGTATTTTATAGAAGTTTAAAGTATTTTTGTTATATTTTCAATGATTTAACTAAGCATTCCAAGAGTATATACATGATACTCCTTTTGCCAATGCAATATATTAACTAGTGCAATCGTTATTTACTTTATGTAAATATGTAGCTTTGTACTAAGTGTAACATGTAAGACAATTAAAACAGATTAAAAAAGATATTGTTTTTATTAATTATTAACATAAATCATAATTCTAAATGTATAAAGTTATTTCTTTGAAATAGATTAGACACATTTCACATTACAAACATTGTATTAAGGCACATAGAGTTTAGATTTAATAAATATACTTAAAAATAAATGGCTTATCCGAGTATTTCTAGAGTAAACATCAATATAATTATTGTCATAATACAGATGCCATTACCAACATTTAAAATATTAGAATTCCTTTAAATATTTATCTTATTGCACCTATATTAATAATAGCACCTATTCATTGCTTTGTTTGTAACTAATTTTGCATTTCCACAATTTTCCCTGTTTTCTCATCAACACCATCTATTATTACCGGTTCTTCATCTGGTGTTGCTACATCAATATTTTCATTGATATTTTCAACCATTTCACTTATTACCTTATTTTTATCGTTGGCAAGTTCTAACATTAGTGTTTCTAGTTTTTGTGCTTTTCTTGTTTCATTATGAGTAATGAGGGCACATAAATGTTCAGTTAGCAGTTCTTTTTTCTCCTTCTCCTTTTGTAAATTTATCTTTGCTTGTAGAAATTCCTTTTCTATTCTCAAATAACATTTTCTGAAAAATAGTAGTAAATCTAAATGCCTTCTGAGTTAGTACAGCCTAGGACATGGTAAACTGGTGGATGTACTCTATTGGCAGGAAAATAAATGAACACTATTATGACTTCTCAAAATGTTTTTTCGTTTAAGGTCTTAGATTATAATAACACTTTTATTTTGACTAGCCCATGTTTGTTGTAAACTCTAGCTTATTATCCCCAAATCTAATAAAACAACAGAAGGCAAAATATAAAAGAAAAAGATTGCTATATAATATATTATGCTTATAACTAGTGGCCTGTTCTAGCTTCACTCATCACTCACTCACACATTGATTTTTGAAAATAATGTTAAGGAATAATGTAGTCAGTTTAATAGTGAAGAAATATTTAAAATCACTCCCATAGCTTTTGAATCTGTTCTTTATAAATATACCAAAAAATAAAAATAATCTTTTTATAATATTACTTTATCAAAATCTTTAAAATATTATATGCTGATTGAATATTAAATAAAAATAAAATCAATTTTCCAAAATACTACATTAATAAACTTACTCTGATTCTGAATATGTGATACATGCTTGGTCTATTTTCTTTCTTAAAACAGCAACATCTTGAGAGAACTGGCCATCTAGTACTTGCAATTCTTTCTTTATCTTTTCTAGTTTTTGTACCTCCTCCTCTGTTTGTTTTGTCCTGAAATATTAATTTAGTAACTCATTCATAAGTTCTAATCAGTACCGATGCCGGAGACCTACTAAAAAGCAAACAAATTGGATAATTTTTTATGTATATTATGTTATTTGACTGCTAGTTTGAGGTTTGAAATATTGGAACAAGCCATGGAGACTGACATCCACTTTCTCCGATGGTTAACAAAACAATGAACATTAGGTAGAAGCTCATAAATCATATTGCCTTTAAAATATAAAATTTTCAAATTATTGCTTTTTCACTTTTCTATACCGACAACCTACCATATTGCTTTTGTTATAAGATGATAAAACTTATTTACCATGGTTTTAAAGTGAGACTGAAAAAACTATGTCACATTCATGTTATCCCAAAAATGATAAAACACTTGAATGAGATAAGGTTTGTTAGTTGAGATAAATAGATATTATCTGTTAAGAAAATATAAATTTCCACCATCTAAGTATAAGGTGCAGTGTCCCTAAAGTAGCTAAATTAGATTTTCATAATTTAATAATATCTTAAGAATGCATTAAATGTGATGAAATATTTCATTCATAACGCAATGTTTTATAAGTAAATACTGAGATACAGTTTTTATTATATTTAAACATGAAAATATTATAAAACGAATGTGTTGATTTAAGCTGAGTGTCAACATCAGGAATTACTGACTTAAATTTAAAAAAAAACATTTTGTGATGAATAGTAAAGGCTAAACTAACATGGATCAAACTGCATGGTTCAGCCAGTCTTACCTGTCAGCTAAAGCCTTAGACAGCATTTCTTTTCTCTTCTTATTCTGTTCTTCCATTAACTTTTGTCTGAGCTGGAGTTCTTGCAACTTATCTTTGTGAGTAGCCAAATCATCCTCTGTATAGTCAATACCTCTGACAACATCTGGAGTTATGACCATCGTATTTGTTCTACCTTCTTCTAAAGTTTCACAATCTCTAACTTTTCCATCTTCAGAATTTTCCTTCATATATATAATTCTATCTTCATTTTCTGTTCCGTCAATTTCTGCTTTATAGCCATAGGTCATATTATTTTGAGCATCATTGGGAGGTGTTGGTGATTTTAAACTAAGTTTACACCTATCAAATGCATCAATATAAACTTCATCAGATATTTGGTTAGACAAAGTTGGCAGTTTTTTTGCAATTCTTCTTGATTTAAATCCAACCTTTTCTATTATTCTAGCATTTCCTTGAATTTGTTCTGTAAATTGTGATAAAAAATGTTAACAGCATAGAGATATATTTAGTTTAGTTATAAATATAACTAGTTAAAAACAGAATCATATTCTAAATGTAGTGCCACATTATGTTAGTTTGTTTAGATTATAGAGTATAATTAGGATAATTTGTTAAACTTTAAGTAAAATAGGAGTAGAATCAATCAAGGCAGAACATGAATAAAATAAGTAAAGAAAGTCACAGAATTTAGCATATAAATCTGTTAAATAAATATTTATAAAACTGAAGTGATCTCACAATAGTAATAATAAAAGCTGTAACATATTCTTAGATGGTTCTAATTGAGGGGACTGGGATCTGGAGGTGAGGGGCTATTTTAAAACACTGACTTCATGGTTAATATATATTACACACATATTAATTTTCTTTAAATCTTTTAGTTATTGAGAGATAAATAGTAATAGAATATTAAACAAATATTGTTTATAAGAAAAATAGTATATGAATATTAAACAAATATTGTTTAATCATCATCGTCATTCATCTTATATTTATACATATACAGATACTAAACTAGTTAGTACTTGGTGCTAGAAGTCTTTTGCACTTTGAACACATCACCACTTAGATGAAACATAGCAATTAGCTAGTACTTTAATAACTTTTATCTCGGTGTATATCCGGCACAACGTGGGAAGATATTTTACAATATACCTAATACATTAAATTTAATTTGAACTTCTAATGAAACTGCACGGAACTGTAAATTTAGAAATAATAATAGTTTAGTACTCATGGGAAAAATTTCTAAGCAATAAACAATTGAAATTACCGCTGTTTATATCTCTTTCTCCTGATTTGATTCGCTTCAAGTCCTCTTCGCTAAAACCGGCAAACGTTGAAGTCATACTTGTACTAACTATGACCTATGTGTTTATGTATTCTTAAATCATTAGAGCAGTAACTTTGCAAAGGTATTTCGAAAAGGAATACGCAAAAAAAACTAGTTTAAATTTTCAAAACATATCTGCTCTCTAGCGAGAAATAAAATAAATCAGCATCTAGAGTGCTCACTGCTCAGTGCTGTTGACGTATTGACCGATGACGTAAACTACTATTGTCAATTGTCTAGACGAACAATGTATTTTTTCTGTTAATGACTGGACACTGACTGTGTATCTCGAATTTGTCATTTAGCAGTTCATTTATCATTAGATTGAGATAGTACTTAGTAGACACTGACAATTTACTGTTGCATGTAAAATTTAAAATTTTGTGGTTATATTTACAAATGTATCAAGACAACGTTGTAATATTAAATATTACACCTAAAGGTTTTTAAGAAGAATTATCAATTAAAGCCACTTCAATTTACTGCAATTGAAATACGTAAATAGCCGTATCAGACCCTATTAAAATGAGTAAGTATAAAATTTCTCCACCAAAATCAAGACATGATAAAAACGTGTCAAATGTTTTGCAATATAATTTTAGGTCTAATATTGAAGAAAATCCGAGACGTGGATCCGAACAATAGTGAGGCTGTGAAAGAATGTCTTACAGGATTTTTCCAAAATTTAATGAAACAATCTGAACCTAAAAGATGGCTTAAAGCATTGGATGATGTTATTCGCCGGTAAATAACCTTAATTACAATTTAACGCTTGCAAAACAACAATTTAGTAATTTAAAGAGTTATTATACAAGTTGCAATAGTATCTCTAATTTGCACCTTTAAATACTTATAAAATAAGGTATAATGACTGTTTTCTTCTTAATTTTCTCTTATTACTTTATTATTAAGGCGTAAGATGCTGCAGCCACTGTTGATCCGTGACCAATAGTGATAATTGCAAAGTAGAAAATTATTTGTTTTTTTTTTATATTTGTAAATTGCATGTTTGTATTTTATAATCTAGTTTGTTTTTTACTTTTAATGTTTAAGTTATTTTCTCTTTATCATTGTATCATTTCCCTCTAAATGTTGTGCACACTTGTTATTGATGCACATGCCTAATTGCCTTGTTTAAAGACTACCATATTGCATTGTTTAAACCTATCAATAAATGCTAAGATTTAAATTAAGAATCCTACTTAAAATATATAATTTTGTTTTTATTTTAATTTTTAGCTTTCCAAAGTACTGTATATCTCATAGAGGAGTTATAGAGAATTTCATTATAAGTTTTTTAAACTCAAACAAGTATAACAATGTCATTGAAGCGGCAAAATGTGCTCACTCTTTACAACAGGTAATTTAATCTTTTTTTTATTATTATTTTATACATTATAACATTGCTTTCACAAATATATGTAGTTTCTAGACAATTGAAGGTGTCTTTTAACATAATACATTTTTTTTTGTTCATAATTTTACTTGGAACTGGATTGGAAATAATATGACATTAGAACATTTCAATAGGCAACATCAAAAGTCCCTTTCTTTTGTCTGTTAATTCATATGAGCTATTAACTACTGCTTATTACTACTATTTGTAACCTGTTATTGTTTATAGGTTCGGCCATCACAAGAGAAGACCTCTACACCTAAGTCTTGTTGGAGAAATCAGATGACTTTATTATGTTCAGTAACACATAACTTAATTGACAAATTGTTCCCTGATTCTCCTAGTATGTATACAAATAACTTAGAGGTAAATAATTTATTAATTTATTCTGTTGCTACACCAGGCCTTTTGTTAATACACTTAATTTTTTAATTCAGTTTAGTAGCTGTAAGCAGTAAAATATTTTTTACACCTTTTTTGAAGGAATTAAATGTAATAAAAAATGTAGTAAATTTATATTTTTCTATATTTCAGAACAAATTACAAAATATAACAAATACACCATTGAACACTGCATTATCACAGCTTAATATTGCGGGTGGGAAAGATGCTGAAAGAAGAAAACGTTTGATTACTCGACTTGAGAACATTTTTGTTTTTATTCAAGCAATGCTTGTGTAAGTGCTTGTGTAGCCTTTATTTAACATACTTTAAGCTATTTAATCTGTTGTCTCTGCAAATAAATAAATGTGATAAAACTTAAAACTAAAGGCCTAGTGAATACTTCTATGATAAAGCTATTGAATTAATAAAATGAAATAAGACAACAAATGTATTATAAAAAATATTTAAGAACCCCACTTCCCAAGATCGCCAGTTGATTCTTAAGGCGCCAGTAGAATTAGGTACAGAGGATTGAAAAAGTTTGAGTTGTGTAGAGCAAATAGAATTATCTTGGTATTGTACTGTTTATATATAAATCTGTGTTTGCTTGTAAAAAATTCCTTATAAATGGCTGGACCAATTTTGATGAAATACTTTGTGGGCATTCAAGTTGCATTAAGAATGTTTTAGAGTTATGATTAAATGATTTTATGTAACAATATTCAGAGCCCCTGTCCTTGGCTGAGCCGGTAATTTTGCAAGCTGAGTTGAAACAATAATTTTATCTATCCCATATAATCCCCCCCTTATCAAAACTTAATTTTAGCTGAAATTTCAGGGAAACATACCCAGTAGCAAAGCCAATACAACCTCAATTAATACTTGATATTATAGTTCATGCTTTAAGCATAGCTCGCTCTATAGGACAGCCCTTAAACAATATTGCTCAAATGAAGACAGCAGCCTTGAGAACTCTAGATGCCTTAATAGCATGGTAAGCTAAATTTTGATTATTTAACGATTGGTTTTTTGTAATGACGTATTAAATTTGACATCTGTGTACATGTTTTCCTTTTAGAATTATCTAAATTTTTAAGTTAAGGCGATTGTCACAGTATGTTATGTATATATGTTTTAATAAATGTATTATAAAATATATATACATGTAAACTCAATATATACTTCCTGACTCCTGTACGTTTTTGTTCCTTTCTAACAAAAACTAGACAATTTTGAATTTGAATAGCATTGGCAGCAAGAAATTGCCAATTCAAAGCAACCAAACAATTTTTTGTATCCAGGTGGAAATTTGATTAAAGTTCATACGTTACTATTAAAAATATATTAATAAACTGCAAAAAAAAATGTGTTAAGCTGAATAAATGTTTAAGTCTTACGTCTCTTTTTGTCACGCTGTGATGAAAAGAAACAGGTAACCTACAAATAATTTAGTGTGAAATAAAGGAAAATTTGTTTTATTTCAGCCTAGGACCGCACCTTATTCCATACTCGCCTCTTGTATTCAGACTTGTGATGCAAACCTTACGATGGACATCTGACAACCCTACAAAAGAAACTAAGTAAGAAATCTATTATTTCGCAACCAACTTCAAATTTAGTTCATTTTTTGCCGCGGGACTTCAATCAGTTTTTCTATGACAGTAATCTAGAACGTCAATAACACTAACACTAAAATCTAGTTTCAAGAGCTGTGAAACCATCTTTTCTGTTTGACGTTTGACATATTTGACAGCGCTCGAGACGAGGTTGTGACTTGAGATAGAAATAAAAATATGGACCTTAATCTACTATGGATAATTTTAAATACATAATTCTCATTAGTAGCATTTTGTCAGTTTTAGTTTTTTAAAAATTATTAAATGTGGGTATTTTTAGATCTGTTCGTTGTGGTGCGTACAACACTCTGAAACGATGGCTCTCTATACTTCACGTACACAAAATGGCCGACAGCCGAGCGTCAATGGAGGACGAACTGACATCACATATTATTAATGATATAACACCGACCAAGAAACTCGTTCAACTGACTGTGAGTATGTGTTAAGTCACTTTAAAAAGTACCAGAAACTATTAAATAATCATTCGAAGTTTTTGCCTACCACTATGTGGAACCAGCTACCCTAAAGTATGTCCGAACCAATTTGTCTTAGGTTTCTTCAAGTTATGAGTGTACCAATTCATAACAGGCCGGCAACACACTCGCGAGTCCTCTGGCATTATGTGTTCATGGGCAGCGGTATCACTTAATATCAGGTGAACCTGATCGGCATACATGTACTGTAAAAGACATCAATTTCTTATTTAAATTATTTGGAAGAAATTAAGGTTTTGGAACTAAGTAAGAAAATTAAATGTATTAAACAATAAGAATTTAAGGTGAAGATCATATTAGACAAATTTTTGCCAACCAGTATTTTTTGAAGGGATAACTTCTTATGGGAGGGTAAGCCGCTTCGTTACGTAACGCGTTACGGCGCCAGTCGGTATAGCTTCCCTTTCTCTCTCACTCTAACCCGCAGCGCTAGCCGTATTTCGGACACACGCTTTCCCCTCCCTCTACTCATCGCTTAGTGTGCGTTAGACATTTACTGTTGACAGTGAGCATATAACCTCAAACAATTCAGTTTTTGAAAGTGATTATAAAAAAATATAATTAATGAAGCAGTAGATGATGATCCTCGGAACATTACAGAATCAATTAGTTCAATTTAGATCAGTGTAAGTTATGATTACTGTCGGGCGTCCCGAGACCATCACGTTTTTTAAATATTAAATATTTTCGCAGATGGGACCTCAGCCAACCAAGAATTTAAGTAAAAAGGCGAAAAGGAAATTGGCAACCACACAATTGCAAGAAAGTAACATAGCAACACATATGCCCGGAGAGAAAAATAAAAATATTGAGTAAGTTTTTTTGTTTGTGTTTCAATCCTGGGTTCGAACCCCTGAAATAACTGATTTTGAATGGCGAAAACGTAATAGTGTCTGCCCCATGCTTCTAATGGCCACGAGAATAAATATAGAACTTCTTGGTGCCTAAAACTGAACAACCTATAGTACAAACTATAATTCTAATTCAAAAGCTATTCAAAATCGGTTCAGCTATTTAAGATGAAATACTAGCATCTAAGTATTTTTATGTTCTTTTATTTATTTTTTTATAGAAGCCAAAACCGTTTTACCATTTTGTTACATTTATTTTACAGTATATTGTT